GTTTATGAGTTAAAAAAATCGAACAAAGTAAGTTAATTTATAAATTATCTGTCACCATCACAAACAATTTATTACGTGGACATTTTTATGTTTCATTTAAGGATTATGTCAAGTTTTTCCATTTTAAATATAAAAATGGTTTTATCCTTTTCCATAAAATGAAAAAAGATAACTAAGTTTTCTCTTTTCTGTTTTGTTTTTTTTTTTAGGTCAAATGTATTTCCCCCCCTTGAAATTCTTTTGTAATAACAGTTTGTTTTCCTCCAAGAACTCACTTCCAGTGTGGCTTACTTAAGGATTATATTAATGATGTAAAAACCAAATCATATAAACACATTCCTATTTGAATGTTGTTGCCAGTGTGTAGGAAAAGTTTTAGATTCTGAAATCTAGGCTTTTTATAACACTATGATCAATACATTGCATGTATAGATTTATTTTAGCTATAATTTTAACATATCTTGACATTTATAAATGCTTTGATATGCTATTAGAAAGATTTTTAAAAAATACTTCCTCTCTTTTGTCTATCTAAACCTAATATACATCTTGAGAATACTGAGTACTTATTCCTACCATTGCTTTTTTATGTAAAGAAAATTTAGTTAACTTGCTTTTCTTTTATTTTAGTAATTTTTTACTGTACCTCAAAATGAAAATTAATTTTTCTTTGAAATAAGATTTTATATAGAATTGGAGACCCAGCAAGACCTTTTGGCTACCTAATTAATGAGTATCTCAAGAAAAGAGAAGAAAAAAAGTAGAGAAAATATACTAAATTTTAGTTCAGAGAACATTTAGTTTATTGAAAACTTAATCTTCAAATAAGATACTGAGTGAAAAGAGTAATACAGTCAAATTTTGAACTCCCTTTAGCTCAGGTATAGACAACTTTTTTTGATGTGCAAGTAATTGAAGTTATCTTGCTTTGGTTTATTTGTTGTATTTGGAAATAACCTCTATTAGATATACTAATTTTTCCTTGTAGTGACTTCTTTTTTTTTTTTTAAATTATTCATTTTCTATTATCTATTAACTCCTATTGGCTTTTAACCTTTGAATTATTTATAAAAACAAGTGCAAAGTTAATTTCATCATTAAAGTTGAACACTGATATTAGATCTTAATGGAGCATACACACCACATTTCAGTACTATTGATGTTAATAAGTAACTAGACACCATTAGTTATAAAGCTAAGACTTAGTAATATTTCAATGTAATTAAAAATCAGAAGTGTGGTTTTATCAACAAGTATGTTTACTAATATATCCCAAATAGTACTTTATAAAACACACACACACACACACACACACACACACACACACACACACGAACAGAGAGAGAGAGAGCAAGAGCGAGAACAAAGCACATCATTATCCAGTTTAAAAATGTTAAACATTCTTTGGTATATGGAAAGTTCACATGTGTAGATTTCGGTTCTTTGAAGAATTATTTTATATTTCCTTATTTTATTTTTTTGTCCTGTAGAAAATAGAAATACAGGAATAGTATTCGGGGCCATTTTAGGTGCTATTCTGGGTGTCTCATTGCTTACTCTTGTTGGCTACTTGTTGTGTGGAAAAAGGAAAACGGATTCATTTTCTCATCGGCGACTTTATGACGACAGAAATGAACCAGGTAAAAGCTATTTTCAATACTTCAGCTGGGCACAGTGTTTTTAATTAAATAAGGATACCAATGTTTACTGCATTGTCTAGAAGGTAATTCCAAAAGAATTCATATGAATGAACAAACTAAAGACTTATTCTGATCCACCTTATGTTTAACAAAGAACAAAACCAATATAATTACAGACCTGTGAGTGAAATTTTAAAAAAATTTGAACTGTTGCTCATTGCCTCAAAATTGATTTTAAATAATAATCAAAGAATCTAAAACATATATATAAAATTGGAAGATAATGAATGGCATGACATTAGGAAAAAATGATCAGTTTTGTTAGCAAGTGACTGCAAAGCTATTCCTTGCCACTGATAGATCACTAAGTAGCAATAATTTGAACAAAGATTGATTCTAATTTGGAGCTCTTTTAAAGTTTACAGATACAGCAGCCCTCCATTAATCATCATGAATCTCTAATTTAAAGTATCTAAAAGTTTCACATTTGCACACATAAAGTCACAATGTACCTTAATTCAGGAATTTTCCACTCATATGATGGAAAAGGCCAACCATAATATCTATGAATGAGAAATATACTAAAAATAAATTTGTCAGTTTGTGCTTTAATAACATAATATCAACTTGATATTTAATCTAATGCCTGTTTCATCTGTAGTTTTATACTTCAGGGAAAAAAAAAACCACAACTGTTTTCTGGTTTGCACAAAAGATTCTTGTCACCATAACAAATAGTTAAGTGCTTTTGGTGGGTCTCATTGATGAAGTCTTACTGAATTTAAGTTTTGATGAGTTCAGATATGGCTGATATATTTCTTATATTCAGAATCAAATCTGTTAATTAGAAATGTAACTGAATTCTGATTATGGGCTTCTAGGAACTCATATAAAACAAAAAGTACCATTCCTCAAAATTAAAGGACAGGATTTGTAACAGTGGTTTTCAAACATATTTTAGCTTAAATCTTGCCTTTACATGTAATCTCATGCAAAATATCAATAAAAATTGACAAAATCTAAACTGCTGTGATAGAGGTATAAAGGAATAACTCAATCACAACAAAAGTTTTACCCCTCAAAGACATTCTTGAGATATCTCTCCCAAAGACCTAAGGTTCCCGGGAGCCCAATTTGTAAACAGATGGCTAAATGAATAAGTAGATAAGCAAACGATAATAACTAAGTGAATAAGTTACCATTTAATTAATAATTAGTCACTGCTTGCAGTTCCTTAAGATACTAAGTACAGTTTTTCTTTGAAAGTGAATTCAAGATCATTAGGAAATAACTCTTTATTTAAAAACAAAACTAAATGTTCACATTAACAATCAGAAAACCTCTAGTACATGGTAACTTGAATCAATTAGAAGAAAACATAACCTCCCACAAATGTTTCTTTTTATCTCCTCCACCTGAAATGGGTTAGCCATCAAGATATTAAGATATTTGGTAAAATAATAACATTAATTTAAAAATTACTGACTTCACTTAAAAATTTTATGCCAGAAGTGACAAATTATGAACATGTTGACAAGGCTCTGAAATCACAAGATTCAAAAGTCAATGAGGCATTGTCTACACTTCTTTATACAAGGTATTGATATACTACAGTGGTCTCTTCCTTAGTTCCTTTACTTTGAGTCCATCAGCAATAAAATTTTGGAAGTAAAACTGTTCTCTTAGTCTTATAAAAAATGTAGCTGAAAAACATCTACGTATTTAAAAATTTAAACTAAAATCTAAAAAGCCCTTATAAAAATCCTTTTATTTCCTCACCTAGAATAATACCTATAACTTAGCGAATGCCTGAACATGAATCTTTCAGACTATCACTATGAAACAATATTATTTTGTTACTTTTTTAGTTCTGCGATTAGACAATGCACCGGAACCTTATGACGTGAGTTTTGGGAATTCTAGTTACTACAATCCAACTTTGAATGATTCAGCCATGCCAAAAAGTCAAGAAAATGCACATGACGGCATTCCTATGGATGACATACCTCCACTTCGTACTTCAGTATAAAACTAACAGGAAAAAGGCGTCAAACAGCAAGTGTCATCTACATCCTGGCCTTTTGACAAATTTATCTTTTAAAAAGTTACACAAGATTACTGTCATGTGGATTTTGCCAAGGAGAATCATAAAAGCAAGAGACCAGTAGCAAAGAAATGTAGACAGGATGTATCATCCAAAAGTTTCTTACAATTTTTGGCCATCCTGAAGCATTTTGTAGCCTTAGTTTGTATTTTAGTATTATTTTCCTATTAGAAAATATTTGTGAGATCAGGTAAAACTAAAAAATATTTCACCATAATAGCCCTTCCTTATAACTTAATAATAAAAATTATTCTACAAAAAATTTATAAAACTACATTTATTTTGGACAAAAAAAAAAAAATGAAGTTGACTCTTTACTGCTCTGCCTGAGGCCCTAGTGCCATAATTCAGGATTGGATTTTCTTAAAGGAAAATTGAAAGGGTGTTTTTTTTTTGTTTTTTTGTTTTTTTTTTTAATTTTGACCTAAAGCTAAAAAGAGGACAGCCCAGAGTTTCTATTACTGGGAAACTGAGGCAATAGAAATGAGAGACCTGTATTCTAGTACATTATGATTTTCTCAATCAGCATGCATATGATCAGCCCCTCGAGCTGCCAAGCTGATAATGACAACATTCAATAGGGCCATGGCAAGAAAGCTGACCCAGGAAAGTAATAGCTTCTTTAAAAGTCTTCAAACATCTGGGAATTTTAACTTAATACACCTTAGGCTTCAATTATTTGGGTGCCTTAAAAACTCAGTGAGAATCATGGTAAAGAAAAAGAAAAGTTAACCAAAGAATATACCTGTACATAATTTGTACAGTTTTAAGTTGTTAGATGGGAACAGGGTTTCTTATATATTATACATTATTGTTCAATCATATATGGAATAGATTCTGCATCTCTAAATGTACGAAGCATAAGGTTAAAAAAAGATGAATGGAAGTATCAAACACACAACTTTTTGCTGAGTATTACTTTCACAAGCCATAATATAACCTTAATTTGGAGACTAGTATGTTTCAGTTTGTTTTTAATTAACACCTAACTTTGGTAGGAAAAATATGTTCCTTGATGTAGGAAAGTCTAGGTTTTAGAGATTAGAGGATGAGATCAAGAGTTAAATTCCCAAAGAAGTGAATGTATGGAGAGGGCAAACAAAGCAAGTACCAACCTAGAGGCTTTAATGTTGAATTGATTCATTGTGTGTGTGTGTGTGTGTGTGTGTGTGTGCGTGTGCGCGTGTGCACACGCACAGAAACACAGAAACAGCTTCAGAAAATAAGGGCTAGAAAGTAATGAAGAATGTACTTACCCCATATTGCCATAAAAATAGCAAAGAAGACTGTCCCACCATTATCAAACAAATATGTCACCTGAATAGAAAACAGAAATATCAGTCATGTAAATTGATAAAATAATCCAGTGAATACTGTTTGCACTCAGGTACTATGATTTTTTTCCCCACACAGGATCGTATTATTTTATAGTATGGAAATATTATATATGAAATCCTTTCATGGGTCCTGCAACTATTTCACGTGATTTTTCTCATGGGGAGGGGTGAAGAAACATTAGCCTTCTTTTCTCCTCTCTTGATTCGCTTTATAACCCACCTTTGTTTCCAATTATAAATGATTCTACCGCCCTGTGGAAGTATTTGTACATCATGGATTGCCAAACTACAATGAAAGTTGTGTGAAACTAGTTTTCAGGTGAGGCATTCGTAGTTACAATTCCTGTTAGCAAAACTTCTAGAAGTAGGGAAGTTGAATAGCTTACCCTATTCTCTCATGTCTTTCAAAATGTAGGATGGGTCCAATAGTGGCTATAAGATGTAATCAATCCTATCTTAATTTGTTTTAAAAGTTTCATAAATCACTGGACACTTATGAAACCAAGTGCTTTTTAATCAGATATTAACTGAAACTTCCTAAAGAAGGAGGCATAGTTTTATAATGTTATTGAATACAATTTTAAGGCTGGTAAGTGTTGTTTGATTTTAATCAAGTATTAGTTCAATATATCTTTGCTTGTTTGCATTTGCATAATACCCTCAGTATATACGTAAGTTAGTGAGAGAAATTAAATTAATACACTGAAGGCAAAAAAAGTTTGGCCAGCACAAAAATTCATAGAAACTACAGTAAAAATAGAGAACTGGTCCTCACAGGAGGGTGAGGACAATTATGAGCTAAAGAACAGTTATAAGGAAAGTTGGAATGGAATGGTGTTCTCCTTGCCCAATCTGAAGTCCAGAGGGCGCTCAATGGCAGCATTAAAACAATAGTAATATATATTTCAGTTGTTACATCTGGAACAAACTGCAAAATATATGTAAAGCAAGTCATCATAAAACGTATTTTTCTATAATGTGGCATTATTGATAATATCAACATAGAAAGATGTGCTCCCTTTGAAGGCTGGTGGATAGGTGCAAAATATCCCATATGGCTCTGAAATTTTATGTTGGTTAAGGCTTAGTATTTCTAAAAAATAGCATAAAAATTTGGTTTTCAAAACATGCATCAGTGTACACATAGGAGAGAAAAGGATCATAAAGAAATTCTCCCACAAAGCTCATAAAATTATACCCAGCAGGGAATCAATAGTTTTTTTTTTCTCAAGATGTCCCACAGAGACACCTGAGGCTGCTGAACAGCTGCACAGCTGTCTGTTTTCCTTTGTAAACCAACATCATACAGGAAATAGCCTCTTAGAGTGTTAGAACAGAGACTTTACACATGGGGATTTAAAGATCACCAAGAAATAATGCCTCTACCCTGCTCTTTTAGAAAAGTGGCAAATAAAAAGCCACCGTTAATAACAATTTGTTGCATGAACTTGTCATAGTTTGTGTAGTATTTTCCTTTAAAATGCTTCTCTCAGCCGGGCGCGGTGGCTCAAACCTGTAATCCCAGCACTTTGGGAGGCCGAGGCGGGTGGATCACGAGGTCAAGAGATCGAGACCATCCTGGTCAACATGGTGAAACCCCGTCTCTACTAAAAATACAAAACATTAGCTGGGCATGGTGGCGCGTGCCTGTAATCCCAGCTACTCAGGAAGCTGAGGCAGGAGAATTGCCTGAACCCAGGAGGCGGAGGTTGTGGTGAGCCGAGATCGCGCCATTGCACTCCAGCCTGGGTAACAAGAGTGAAACTCTGTCTCAAAAAAAAAAAAAAAAAAAAAAAAAAAAAAAAAAATGCTTCTCTCTTTTTTTTTCCTTGCTAAGTTTGCTTACAAATCTTTCAGGCATTTTAAGTCAATACATTTAAACATTAACATTTTAGAAACACCTTAATAAGATAAAGTTGGAATACATGTAATATTCTTGTAATATGGGATTACATACATCTAATGGGAGATAAAGATAGAAGGAGCATTAGAGAAGACTTAGAAGCTTGCTCGAAGGAAGAGTGCGACATTGTATAATCATATGTTAGATTTATCAAGCTATTACACATGGGATGTGTTATGATATGGAAAATCATAGAGACAACAAGAACAACTAGAGGTATATGGTTATAGCTTGAGGTGTTAAGGGCTTTATTTAGGGTGCTGACATATGAGCTGCTGGATGAAAATGGGAAAAAGTGAAGGAAGAGCCAAGCTTACTGTGAATGGCTCAAGGTTAGATCATGGGTGACTGACAGGAGAATTAAGTGAGAAGTGGCCCCCTGTTTAATAGGACAAGAACACTGAAGAAACTCCATTGAAATATTGAGAAAATATATTTATATTTTGAAGAAATTCCAGATGAAATATTGAGAAAATTCCATAAGCAGCATACCAGATTTTTCTAAAAGTAGAAAGAATCTTGTCCTACATATATAATTACACATATAATACATTAAATTATTTTTATTAGAAAAACAGCTTGTTTTTATGAATAGAGGGACCCATGGCAGGCATTTTGTTCAACATTGTTCATGTGACTAGGCATAATATATAAAGAAGGTAGCAAACTTAGCCTCAAAGCTTGATTTAAGTACAAACTGTCCATTTTCTTTGACACCTGATTTCTCTTGAAGAGCTGAATGTCGCTACAAATCAATAAATGTGGGTACTGTTTAAGGAGATCTATTTCTTATTAGGTTGGAAGCAGAAAGTCTACGTTTTCTCCATGATAGCTGCTGGGTCTTGGTCTAAAATTGCCTGATAGGTTCAGAAAAACATAAGGCTCTAAAAAATGCCACTTATATCCTACTAAAGTCCCTCCAGGATAGGAGAACAAGGTGCCACCTTGGCAGATTCAACCCTGCATGCAGGGCTATTACTGGAGATTTGGAGGGCAGGGAGTCACAATTGAGGCTGGAGGTCACTCCCTTTCACACCCTCATTCCTTAACTCTTGGGCATGGTAAAACCTGAATAACCATTTTATTTGCTGAATCTGGGCAGAAGCTAGATAAAAAATGAAGTCTTGATTAGCCTATTCTCCACATCTTTTTAAAATGCGGTCCTAGAAATCAGAGTCACTGGAGGAGCTTGTTATCATGGAGAGTTGTAGGCCTTATCCTTGACCAATAGATTCTAAATTTCAGGATGTGGAGCCCAGGAATCTGCTTTTTAACAAATGTTCTAGATGATCTGATGTACAGTCTTATGCAGACTCTTTGATGAAGTTTTTTTGAAAGGAACAGCTTCTCTCCTACTTCTGTTGTAACCTCAAATCAGTATGCAGTCTGAGGTTCATACTGGGTATTGAGTAAATGTTTGTTAAACAAATTTTTTAAAATAAAATTATTATGAATAAGCTTTAACTTTAAGGGGTTGAGTCATTTTTCAATTATATGAAAAACAATGTAGGATCTTTAATTATTTCACCTTAAAAGAGAATTCCTAGCATCATAGGGTTTGAAAGTGTAGTGTCAGTGCATTTAAATGTGTGCAAATATCACTAAATTATTTAATTGCAAAAATTCCTAATTCCAATACTTTTAAGTACTAAAATAAAAATAGTCATGAAAGGAAACATTAATGTACTTAAAGATTAATTTTTATCATAAGACCAGTTATTTTCCATACAAACACATCACTGAAACTATAAAGGGAATGATTACATGTACATACATGTCCTTTTCAATATAGTACAGAAAATTTAATTTCCTCTTGTCACAAGCAGTGACAGATTCCATAAGAAACTGAATTGAGAGCTCCCTAAATTATGTGTCTAGGTGATTTTGTTTCTAGATGATCCTAAATTGGTTGGCTTGTTCCTTTGGCAAAAATCTGCTCCCTTATAGCTCATTTTATCCATCAACAAAGTATTACATATTTAAACATGAAAATTTATATTAAAAGAGAATGTTGAGTTCCAACCAATAAGGGAAGAGGCAGTCTTATTTTTAAGGTATAAAACAAGTAGCTACATTTTGTCTTAGCCAGAGGAAAAACTAAAAGACATTTCATCCTAGTGGACTGTATTTCTTGTATTCTTCTATAAGGCAATAGTCTCCTTTGCAAGCTAACTTTTTCACCTTCCTTACATAAGTTATTAAGTGAATTCTTTGTGAGTCATCCCTGTCCTTAAATGTACCTTTCTCTGTTGAGAAAAGAAGAGATGTATTTACCGCATGATGACAAAAGCACCTTAGATGTGGTGTTTCCTTGGACGGTTTCCTCACGTTATCACTCTGCCATATGTGATTATTTCTTGTCTTCAGTGTAAAAATAATGCCAATGTGTGTTATTAGATATGTCCAAGTGAAAGAAGAAGAAGTTAACATATATCTGGATTTTTTGGCATTCCTAAGGCTGTTATATGCCTAAAACACATAGGCTAGGAGAAGGACATGTGCATATATATCTAATATTTCTTAACACACTTGGTTCTTGCAAAAATGATGAGAAAATGCAGCCTCCAAACAAGATAACCATGTTTCTAAGTCCCTATCATCTTTATGGAACATTTAAAAGAATTAAAACTAAACATTTATTTTGAAATCAAATTATAAACAAAACAGACTTTTCACATGTGCTTCATTCAAGATAAATAATTCAGAAACTAACTTTATAAGTTATGTTCTTGCAGTAAGGACATTGAGTGGCTTTGGATTTTGCGCCCAGCCTTGTCAAAATTAATTGTATTGAGACTTTCACTTCTGGAAAAAATGGAGTAAAAGATACTGATTTTATCTCTATTCTGGAAACACCCCCAAAATGCACAAAATGTATGAAACAACACATTAAAAAATGGTAAATATCAGGCACCAATGGGCAATGATCCCTGAGAGACTGGAAACAAACAACGTGCACGTTATTACTTCTCAGATTACTACCTTAAAGAATTCCCAGGGTGTAGAGAAGAACAACCTAGGCAGTACTCAATGAACATGTATGCAAGGAAACTATCTGTCAAGGAAAGCACCACTTAAGAGGACAGGAGTCAGGAATACTGCCTTTTCCCTCCAGCCACTGGGAACCCTCATTTTTCACAGTGACTTGGGTATAGTACATAGAAAGAGGATTATAATTTGTTAAAATTTATAAAGATTGACCACACTGAGTCTCAGTGACTACACAGAAAATTGGAATTCTCATACACGATGGGTGGGTATGTAAATGGTATCAACACATAGGAAAAGTTTTGCTTAGCAGAGTTTTAAAAGGCTAATCACATACCTATCAGATGATCCAACCAGTCTACTCCTAGGTATTTACCCAAGAGAAATGATAGCATTTGTCCATATAAAAACTTGTACATGAATGTTAATATCAAATTTGTTTAAAATCAGCAACAGTTTGAAACAATCCAAAATTTTATTAATAGGTAAGAGAATAAACAAACACGTTACAGATATTATGAAATATTCAGCAATAAAAATGAATGATCTATTGATAAATGCTACAGCATGAATGAATTTCAAAACAAATACGCTGTGTGAAAGAAGCCAGAAAAATATACATACATACATGATTCAATTTACAAAAGAATCTAGAAAATACAAATTTATCTATAATGACACAAAGCAGTTGGCTGCTAGAGTACAGGGGAAGGTCAGGGAGGCAAGGATTTAAAAGGATGTGAGGAAACTTTTGGAGATGACATGTTCATTATTTTGATTATGCTAATGGTTTCACAGGTGCACATGTATAACAAAATGTATCAATTCATACACTTCAAATAGGTACATTTCATTACATGTTAACTATACTTCATGACATATTTTTTACGAACTGTTTTATAAAGAAAAATACAAATGTAGAATTCAGTGTTTCTTAAACTTGGATGGACATTGAAATTACCCAGAAAATTTTGAAATATACCAATATCTATGTTCCAATACCAAAGATTCTGATTTAATTGCCCTAGGTTTGGCCTGAAATTCAGGGGTTTTAAAAACCCTCCAGGTAATTCTAATAGGCAGCAATTTGGGAATTTTTGGTATGTTATTTCATTTTCTCTTTACCAATAGAAGAATTTTAACTTCATAAGTTTTTATGTAACATACAAACTTAGTAAGTAGCAATAGAAGTAACCGTTTGTTTCCTAAAAAGAATCTACATACAATTACAAGTGCAAGTTTATGTTTATCTACAGAGGCAAAAATCAGTTATAAAAACAAAGGATGACCAAAATGTTCAAATAAAAGTATCCTTGCTTTGTAATTGCAACGGACTGACATTTTATTCAGTAGTCAATGGCACTTATGATCATTGACACTCTTGAGAACACAACTTTGGTGAAAAGCTATTGGCTGGAGGACTTCTTACTGCCCGGTTCTTAGTACACAGCTCAGGAAGGAGAATGCAAAGGCCCACACTCACCTTGGCATAGATACAGCTGTCGTTGAGTCTCTGCAGGGAGCAGTTTTTGTCACAGAGAGGGCACATAAAGACTTCAGTGGCTTTACAAATTTCTTGGCTTGAGAAAAAAAGAAAATAAAAACAGAGGATGAAACTATGACTAGGAATTCACTTAGTCCTGACAGCAAATCCTGTTGGAAGCAGCAAGGCAGGGAGGAAAAGAAGAAATGAGAAGACTGGGGAGTAGTGGGCAAGTAAGGAAGAAGTTTTAGACTGTGGTGTGACTCCAACTCAAACACTTGAGAATATTTGTGATGCAAAAGTTTTGGTTTGCTTCTTTTATTTTAGAAAATGCTGTCAAGATATTGTAATGATAACAGGCCATATTTTACATTTGGGTGATACTGGTGAAACTTTGTCTACAATGACTCTTTTATACATGATTTCATAGCCTCAGGATAATTTTGTGAGGTATACCAATGAAGTTTTAGCCAAACTCACAGGCTTGGAAGTGGCTGAGCTGGAATCAAACCTATTTGGATTTCTCAAGTCTAGTGACCACACAATTTATAACACCCACTGCACTACACATTGTTGGTGCAGAATGTTCATTGCAGATTAAAATAATTGTTTTTTTATGTTTGTTTGTTTTGGGGGGCCTTTTGCAGTGCCTTGACATACACTGTCACAATGACATGCCGTAGTTTATATTTATGTAAATATGTTCATTAGAGTGTAACTCTACGACACGTCTCTTCAGTTTTATGTCCACTGCCTTTAAAAAACCTCTCAGAATACATTCTAGGTGACTTTGTGACAGCACTAACACATCAATAACAATTTCTGAAAAGCCTCATAGACTCACAGGTCTCAGCAACTTATTTTAAGAATGTTTTGAGCCCTTTATTCTCATAAATGGCCCTTTCTCATTTAGTATTCCCTGAGTTAACTGTCTTAAACTAAATCTTCTCTGGAAATGTTGAAAGGAATTTAAAGGCTTTAGAAAATGTGTCTGGAAATTCAACTCAACACAAGTTCAACTGGCAATGTTTACAGCAAGATTTGTTGTTTTTACACGTTTGTCTTTGAAAAAGACCAAAAAAAACCAAAACACACAAATAATGCATGTGCATTTCAGTGTGTATTTCAAGTGTAAGATGTATATAATCTCAAGCCAAAGAGGGGATCAAGAGTAAGTAATGATATCCCATAGTAACAAAATGCTTTACAGTGGGGAAAGATAATTCATGTCTGTCAAATTGTTTAGTCTTTACTCCAATCTCAGGTAATGGCAATAATCTCCAGTAAAAGGAGAGTAACAATGTTCAATTTAAGGAACTTGTTCAAGATTATAGAGCTAGCAAGAGACACTTCAGGAACCCCCAGCTTAGGTTTTTCTGATTGTACATCCAGTTCTTCATTAATTATATCTAAACGAGAGATAAAGTTTGTGTCGTATTTTAAGGGAACTTTTCTATCAAGTAATAATTTATTACTGATCATCATGATGGAATGGGTCTATACTTCTACTTTCATACTTATCTTACTAGTAATCAGGATGTCTATATAAAGTAGGAGAAAGCAGGTAAAATATACATTTTAAAAAACAACAAGAAAGAGAAGAATATGTCTCCTCATATCAATACTATTAATTTGTAGGAATAAGAACTATAACATATTTCTTAAAAAATTAATTGAAATGAGCTTTTTAAAAAATTTATTGTTTCACAAATGATACAATTTGTCCTGCACTAGAATCTTACACCAAAAGGGTGCTGAAGTTGGCTTATGTGACATAATCTTTCTCAATTTCCAAATGGGATAAATCAAAAGCCCAGATTTATTCAAGCACCAAGTCTAGAATTTCCATCATTAGACTGGGTCCTAATTTTACTGCTGGAATCATTATATTAATTTTCTGAAGGTTACACAAAGCTCAACTCAATACATGATATACAAAAAAACATCAAACAATTTTTGACAATTGTTAGTCTAAAATAAGGTACTTAAGAGTATCACAAGTTTCTTTGACTTTACTTAACCACTAGAGGGAGGGACAGTGCCCAACACGAGAGTTTCTTAATTTCTTTTGCAGTGTTATCTGAACAACCACTCAAATTGTAGCTTTCTTTTGTTTTGTATTTATTTATTGCTAAATATACACATCAAGTGCAATTTCAAAGAAACAATCATTGCTACCAATTAAGGATAAAAGTAGCGAAAAATTTTTCGATATGGGGGTGGATGTCTGGACCCACTCATTTGAGGGTCCTGATGCTTCCTTATAATTGAGCGAACATGACAAAGAATGGAAAATAACATATGTGCTTCGTGGTACACATTTTTTGGGGAAAGTGTGAAACTAGGTGTAAGGAAAAGCAGTAGGGCATTATGGATAAATCATTGCTTTTAAAATCAGAAATAATCATCAGAGAAATGCAAATCAACACTACAATAAAATATCACCTCACACCTGTTAGGATTGCTACTATACCTAAAAACGAAAAATGAGTATTGGTGAGAATGTGGGGAAATTGCAATCCTGTATACTGCTGGTAGAAATATAAAATGGTCCGCTGTTATGAAAAACAGTAGGGAGGTTTCTCAAAAATCAAAAATAGAATTTCCACATGATTCAGCAATCCCACTTCTGAATACATAACCAAAAGAAATGAAATCATGATCTGGAAGAGCTGTCTGCACTCCCACATTTATGTCAGAACTATTAAAAATATCCAAGATACGGAAACAACCTAAATGTTTATTGATTGATGAATGAAGAAAGAAAATGTGGTATATATGTACAATGGAATATTATTTGGTCTCAGAAAAGAAGGAAATCCTGCCATATGTGATAACATGGATAAACCTGGAAGAAATTATGCTGACTGAATTAAGCCAGTCACAGAAGAACCAATATTGAATGATTCAATTTATACGAGGTATATAAAATAGTTGAACTCATAAAAACCAGAGTAAAATGGTGGTTGCCATTGGTTAGGGGGAGGGAGGAATGGAGGGTGAAATGGATCAAAAATTTTAGTTACATAAGAATAATAAATTCCAGAGAACTGCTGTACGATATTGTGCCTGTGGTCAATAATACTGTCTTGTGCACTTAAAAATTTATTAAGGAAGTAGATCTCACATTGTGTTCTCATTGCTAATAAATATTTATTAATAATCCATTTATAATTAAATCTAAATTAATAAAACAATGATTAATTTAGTTCTGTAATTATATATTAATTATAAAATTATTATTATTGATAATTTTAAAAACAGAAATAGGTTTGAAACTTAGCTGAATACTTACTAGATACAGTCTCCTGATCAAATAACTTTTTTTTAAAAGGATCAATTTCTTCATCTTTAAATGGTGATATCTAACTGGGATATTAGATTTAACATTTTTACAATGTACTTTACACATTCAGGTACTTCATAAATGGAAGAAACTCTTATTACTAAGGATAGTGTCAAGAGAAGGCTTGGGAAACCTCCAAGAAGCAATGACTTTTAAAAATTTGGTCAATATTGAAAACCACATTAATTTATTGGTGAGTTCTGATGCTGAAGAGGCAAGAATAGGCCAGGGAGTTAGGGTTTCAGCTGTTTCCTGGTTCCTGAAACCCAGGGAAAAACAGGCCGCATGTACTTGTCTGTTTATTTTCAAATTCCTGTATTTTTCCCAGGCATAGACATGGCCACATTTCACTATGTAAGACCAGTGTATACATGTAAATATATACATGTATGTATATACAGTCATCTAAAACTTGATTGTTAGTTACTTCTATGATGAAGTGCAGGGCAATTAAGAAACATAACCTTAATTTAACACAGCTGGTAGAAACATAATTGATAGAGCCACATTTGCAGCTTTGGAACATTTTTCTACCCTGCAACAAGCAAAAAAGAGCTTAATAAAATTGTACTAACATAAGTCAACACAAAATAGAAGCTTGCTTTCCTTCCCTCACCCACCATGATAGCACCTACAACTCAACCATGTCTGACACCTTGAATGGAAAATTTAAGTCCCCAAATTTTCAGTCAAGATATTCAGTGCTGCTTATCTTGGTTTAGAATAGAAAGTCTGACAGGATCTTAATTATAGTGTGACGGAAGTGGGAGTAATATAATACCATAAAGCACTGAAGAAAAGAGTTTGCTAATGCTTTTTAAAACACTCCTTGTACTAAAGGTTAAAGAATAATTATCTCATACAAAAAAAAAAAAAGCCTAATTTACTCCATTGGTATATAAATCAATAGAAACAGCAAATCTATTCCCTTCATTCCTCTTTGTTCATTTTCAGCTTTGTAGTGGCGGAGGGGGGAAGTCTACATCATATGCTGAAATGTTGTTAATATGTTCTCCACAGAACCAATTTGAACAGTAGCTGTTGAAGAATCATTTTACATATTTTAAAATTTATATTAAAAGTGTGTTTACTTTTTTCCAATTCATTGTAACTCTAAGCCACAACCTTTCTTCTGAGCTCTAGATGTTACTGATACAACAGGATACAGGGAAATGCCCAAAAGGACAATGGATGTGTCCAGTGGGCAGAATTTAGTTCAGGAAGATGGTGCTTTGCAAGATGGTAGTGAGTTTGCAAAACTCTGAAATAAACCCATGACTAGGTCAAATGGGTTTGGGCAGTAGGTGTTTCTTTGTTTTTATGATATTTATCATTAACATTCATGAAGAATAAGGGGAGCTTGAGATATCAAATCAAGCAACTTGGTTATTGAATAGGATTTAATTCTAGGACAATAAAGGTGCTTTGTTTTAAAGTAAAATTGTTATACACATACATACATATACATATTTGTTAATGAAAATTCAGCGAAATTAATTTCTATGATCTCATGAAGAATATAACTTTAGCGTTAACTGTCATGTTTAGCAACCAGTAGCAAGGTCACGGTTAAAAGATGGACCAAAAGAGAAGAAAGTGTTCAGTTTTGAAAGAAAGAGGAGAGATATTTTTCATATTTTGAATTTGATCATATAAAATTAAAGTTGATAATATGCTTGTGATATATTAAATAGAACTTGATGTTAGGATTATTTAATGCTAGGATGACTTTTGCCCTTGCTAAATAATAATGTATTATTCCTATTTCCAAATCTTAAGTCACTTTAACAGAGGCATCACCATTTTGATACATGTTTAACTTTTGTTAAATCCAATTTCACTGCTATCTCTATATCTTAAGTGGATGCTAAATACAATTTATAAATGGTTATTCCTCCAGAGAGTAATAATAAAGTAGAAAGTGTGTTATGTTCTGTCATGAACTCAGGATAGTACAAGAGGCTGCTGAGAGCAAGATTTATGTTGTATAATAGTTTTGTTTAGACATCTTGAAGTATCCCTCACGTGCAAAAAGGACTGTGCATCTCTAAGGGTGGTAGTGAAGGTTACAGCAGATGAAACAATGTATTTGGAAGGCCTTGGTAAATTACAAATTGAAATTGTAAATTATATATTATAGCTATTATAATGATTTAGATGAATATATTGAGAGGGCATTCTAGATTAACAAATGCTATACAAATGTAAACTGCACACAACTATCACATTTTTGAATTATTATGTGGTATATACTGGAAAGAGAAATTTGACATAAACAGTCTTGGAACTTACCCAAGGGAGGCTGCACATAAAAGCATAAAAATAACCTTTTATAATAGTGTTCCCTTCCTAACAACAGCAACAAAAAAAAACAGAAACAGCAAATAAATTAAATTACAGTATCATCAACCATTTGTTTTTTATAGTCAGCATTATCATTAAAATTTGGCCACTCAGAAGACAGGCCAAACATTTTTAATAGATCGCTTAATAGCTTACCTCACTTGACTTTTATTCATTGTAAATAATCCATAGAAGAAAACACACAAGCCAACAATTGCTGCAGGAATCAGCATTCCGGTATACCATCCCAGCCAAGCAAAGTATAGTCCAATCTTCTCACCAAAGTATAGCCTGCATGAGAAAGCAAATTCTTAGACTGAGTTAAGGCAACATAAGCAATATTACAAACATTGATGCCACACCTAGTCAGAATTTCAGATGGAAACTTGAGGCTACACTCAGTTCCTCCTCAGCTCCACCTAGAGTATCTAATACTCCTGCTTGTTAATGAATCCAATAATGGTAATAGTGTTTATTTTTAAACATTTTCATTATAGGGGCAATTCTGTCACATGTATTTATGTATACATCATACTTCTTAATATGGCTCAGAAGCCTTTATATAACCCAATTCTTGCTTTTCTCCATCTTCCTGCTGGCATCCCTTCTCATTGTTCACATCACAGAGCTGCCCTAAACTACATAGCTTTCACGCAAATTAGAAAAAGCTCTTCCCTCTGGGTGCAGTTTAGATTTTCATCTCCATCTGCACCTTAACCACACACCCTTATGCTAGACACAATGTGCACCATTATGCCACACCTTCCTCAACAAAGTTCAACTCTGCAGTTTCCAAAGCACACAATATCTACCCTGGTTAATGCTGTCCCTAAACTTACAAAAATGTATGACAATTACCAGGCATGCTTCCATTCATTTTCCTCCCTATACGATTTTAAGCCGCTAAAAGGTTGACCTATGTGTTGCTTCACTAATACCTGTCACAGGAAGTACTGAAGGACGCTAAGAGAGTTAATGAATTTTACTCCCCTCTAGCTGATGAATATTATTTAAATTGAAATGGCAGAGGAATAAGGCAGCTCTAATAACTACTCAATAGCTCCTTCTTCACTTAACCTACTGCTGATATTAAAGGCCTGGTAAAAATGACAATTTCCTGACTTCTTTACTACTGTTTGGTCTCCATCTTCTAAAGATTGTTAATTAACACACACAGTTTTGTTCCTTCAATAAAGATTGGCACTTTAAAGTTCATTTGGAAATACTGTACTGAGCAGTGATTCTTGCTAAGAAGAAAATTCTCTTGTCATATTTCCTTAACAAGGCTTCTCTTTCTGCAAACTATTCTCTTTCCGCTTCATTCTCTGTATTGTGCCAATTAAATCCTTTGCACATTCCACTGGGTGCAGGCCTGGAATAATCCTACATTTCTCCATTTTTTTTCCATTTTATTTATCTTTCCTAGGAAACACAGATCATTAGAACATTAATTTCTTATACAATAATAATATTCTACTTTGAAATGGAAACTCATTACATTAACAGGTATTGAAAAACCATTTTGTTCTCTTGAACAAATGTTCCTCTGTGGGGTAGAGCAAAGTTTTTAGCACGTTACTAACACAATAGAGTACCTTTATAATTATGATGACAGAAGCCTGCACAGACAATTGAGCTTATATAGACAGTATTATCTATATCATACTGATATCAATAATGGTATTTTAAATTACACATTCTTGAAGGTTAATAGAAACAACAATATTATTTGGTGCAGTATAGTCACCTAAGTAAAAATAGTTTTCAGATCTGTGTCAGAAGAAAGGAGCTGGTGACAAGTAAAAGAGGCTAAAGAAAAATGTCCTTGCCTTGGACCACTGGTACTCACAACATTCTATGATTCCTGTGTTCCAAACAGAGCAAGGAGGAAGAGGGAGGAAGAGGGGGCTGCTATTGCTGTAACTTCTCATCATACTTCAACCATAGCTACTCTCTTTTAATCTGTTTTTTTTTTTTAATATTTGTGCCCTGTGTCATATTTCACTCAATGATAGAATTCTGCTGCTGAAATAATTTCTATTGTAAAACAAAACAATGTGGAAATCTATGCTTTTTGAATTGTTTCCTTTGGTGATATTGTTTTTAAATACAAATGCCTTCAATGCCTATTGTGAAATATTTTTTCAAATTGCCATACAAGAATTTTGCTAAGCAAGTTTTGTAGCTGATGATTTTGAATATGTGCTCTTTTTAGCTTCAAATATTTTTCATGGAAAAACAGACTGAAACTAAAATAGGCCTTAGCTACAAAATGTTTAAATTTATTTTTAAAATGGGAAAAACCATAGACACATGTCCAGAAATGGTTATTTATATTAAAAAAAAGAAATTGCCTGTATCTGACTTTTCATCTACTACTGAAAAACAACTTTATTCAGTATGAGACAATACAGGTTGTGCCTATGGCTCTCCATCATCCATAACCAAAGAATATAAAGAAATCCAACCCTGAAAACCCTCTTTCTCTCACTACAGATAGAAAGCAACACAGTAAGAGAATCATGTCCTCAAAAGTGGGTGGTTTTAAGAACAACTTACTCAAAATAAGTAGCCACAAATTTTAAGACAATCTGCTTGTTGTAGAAAAGTGGGCCTTGTAGAAAATTCTACACATAAATAGTTGAATATCCATATTTGCCTCATCACCATCTCAATTTTGGTAACACAAGTATTTATTTTTTGTCAACAGAAAATTGTATATATTTATTGCATGCATGAGGTTTTGAAATATGTATATATTTTGGAATGACTAAATGAAGCTAATAAACATATGTATTACCTCACATATTTATCCTTATTTTATAGTAAGAACATTTAAAATATACACAGTAATTTTCAATAATATAATACATTATTATTAACTATAGTCACCATGTTATACAATGGATCTCTTGAATGTATTTTTCCTAATCAAATTTCATATCCTTTGACCAATACCTCCCCAGTCCCTGCCTTCTCCCTACCCCCAGACTTTGGTAAGTACTTATCTACTCTCTGCTTCTAGGAGTTCAACTTTTTTAGATTCTACCCATACGTGAGTTTATGCAGTATTTGTTTTTCTCTGCCTCACAGATAAAGAAAATATGGTATATATACACAATGAAATACTACTTAACCTTAAAAAAGAATACAATCCTGTCATTTGCAATAATATGGATAAGACTGGAGGACATGCTTGCAAATCCTAACTTCATTTTCATTCCTAATAGATATGCTTTGTGAACCAGCACATTTCACTCTGTTCATCTATCTCTAAAATAATTCTTCCATCTGTATAAAATAAAATCTGAGAATTTTTTGTGATCACCTGACTAAGAAATAAAACATTTTGGTTCTGAATATACCCAAGTACTTAATGTTTGAAACTAAAAGTGTTTGGTGGTGGATGTTTACCCTCTGTATTTCCAGATCCACCTTCTACTTTTTTCCTTTCTCTATATGCACTAGGTGGCTACCTCTATGGACTCTGTAAGCTTTGTTCCTTCTTATTTTCTTCTGCCTTCCTGATGGACTTGTTGACCAACTGAATGTGCCAGCAGGAGATCAGAGGGCAAGATAAAAGAGATGGGGTATTTATTAACCTGGCTTCCTCCCTCTTGGTCCGTGTTTGGCCATGGCTGCTTTCTTTCTAGGTCATAGCTTGTTTCAGATGACCCATCATTTTTATGGTTTTAGATTTTGACAGGTTCTGCCAAATGCTTTCTCACCCTGCCTCTTCAAGATCTAGGTTTGATAGCAACTTCCAGCTACGCTAGTTTCTGGGAGCTTCCTTATCCATCACTGCCTACCTTGGCCCTGGCTTATGCTTCTGTATATAGTTCTTTTATTAAATTCTCTACAAGTACCCCTCTCAGTGTTCATCTGTTTTATGTTGGGGGCACTGACTCATTAAGCTATGATTTATTCTTGATGTTTATACTTTATAAACAGCTTAAAATATTAGCATATATAATATAAATGATCATTTTCTATCATTCTGTAAATACGTATAGTTAACCACAGACTTGATTATGTCCTTGTTAATACAGATTTCATGATTTCCAAACATAAAGAACAAATTATCTTCCATCAAAATAAATGATATAAATCATGAATACAACAATATTTCAAGACTAGTTCAAGTTGAAGGCAGTTACTTACTAGAATATGCATCCTGAAAGAGAGTAGATCTTTGATGAACAATAAATATATACAAACATGTGTTAGTCATTTTCCTCTTTGCTCTTAGATCCACTTCTTTTTTTTTTGGTTTGGAAATTTTAGTCAGGTTTTACTCTAAATTACTTCTGGTTAAGTTGAGTCAGGAAGTACTAAACCACTCAAAGGTAGAAGAAAGAGATAAGCCAGGACCTTTTTCCCTCTCTATGACCTCTCCATGGCTCCACCCTCCTCCTTACTTTCATCTCTCTGATGGCAGCCCTAGCAATGGTATATAGGTATTGGGTTCTGGTAATATATTTTTATTACAATTTCTCTCCACCTGTAAGGAGTGTTAGTAATTTTTTGCTGTTGCTAATCCCTTGGACACCTTGCAAAGCCTGTTTGATTTCTCAGCTGTCCCATCCCCTGGATAACTAATTACCTGCATTGAGTTTCTTTTACTGAAAAATCTGACAGTGGTTGCTTTTTTAAAGCCTGCACCATCACTGATAAGTACAATAAATAATTCCAAGTCTAACAATGACAACAAACAGCGTACTTTGCTTTTCATGATTGTTCCATTTGCAGTACCTGATTAAATCCAGAGGCTGATGTTTATACCACATTCCCCAGCGTGCCCAGCGCTCATATAATAGATGCCTGTTATTCTGAGGTCCATGGGTTTTAATGGGCTGGCTACTCTTGTAGGCTCCCTGTAGCAGATAAAGTAAGATATATTTGGGTCTATTCTTTTGTGAAATTTGAATTGAATAAGAACTCTATTTTCCCTTGCAGAATAATTTAACAACTTATTGAAAACTTCAGAAATGGTAAATTTAAGCCCATCACTGGAATGATGTGATATACCTTTACATATTTTTCATTAAAAATAGTCTAATAATTACTTAAAAATCTTTTATTAAATTACTTAAAAAATACAATAGGACCCATTTAGCTTAAAGTAAACTAGACTCAAGGCTTCTCTGTCTAGAATTTAAGATCTTTTAATAAACACAATATCTTTACCATCACTGAGAAAAATTTTGATAATCTTTAGTTCAGAAAGTTCAGAAAAATATATTTTGCTTTAAGAAGTGATGCAATCCCAGGAAAAGTTTCTTCCATTTTTACAAGTTAAGCAAGAGAGTAAGTGCTCATTCAAAAAATATAAGAGGCCTCAGCCACTAGTACTAGTCAGATTTTCTCTCTCTCTCTCTCTCTCTCTCTCTCTCCTCTCTCTCTCCTCTCTCTCTCTCTCTCTCTCTCTCTCTCTCTCTCTCTCTCTCTCCTTCTGTATTATACTTTAAGCTCTGGGATACATGTGTGGAACATGCAGGCTTGGAACATAGGTACATACGAGCCACGGTGGGTTGCTGCACCCATCAACCGTCATCTACATTAGGTATTTCTCCTAATGCTATCCCTCCCCTGGCCCTCAAACCCCTGACAGGCCCTGGTGTGTGCTGTTTCCCTCCCTGTGTCCATGTGTTCTCATTGTTCAACTTCCATTTATGAGTGAAAACATGTGGTGTTTGGTTTTCTGTTCCTGTGTTAGTTTGCTGAGAATTATGGTTTCCAGCTTCAACCATGTCCCCGCAAAGACATGAACTCATCCTTTTTTGTGGCTGCATAGTATTCCATGGTGTATATGTGCCACATTTTCTTGATCCATTCTATCATTGATGGGCATCTGGGTTTGTTCCAAGTATTTGCTATTGTGAGTGGTGCTGCAGTAAACATATGTGTGCATGTGTCTTTATAGTAGAATGATGTATAATCCTTTGGGTATATATACCCAGTAATGGGATTGCTGGGTCAAGTGGTATTTCTGGTTCCAGATCCTTGAGGAATTGCCACACAGTCTTCCACAATGGTGCTCATCTTTCTTCACATCCTTTCCAGCATCTGTTGTTTCCTGGCTTTTAAATGATTGCCATTCTAACTGGCATGAGATGGTATCTCATTGCAGTTTTAATTTGAATTTCTCTAACAACCAGTGATGATAACCTTTTTTTCATATGATTGTTGGCTGCATAAATGTCTTCTTGTGGGAAGTGTCTGTTCATATCCTTCATCTACTTTGATGGGGTTGTTTGCTTTTTTCTTGTAAATTTGTTTAAGTTCCTTACAGATTCTGGGTATTAGCCCTTTGTCAGATAGGTAGTTTGCAAAAATTTTCTCCTATTCTGTAGTTTGCCTGTTCACTTCGATATAATTATAAATTCTATCAATATCTTGGACAAATTATGTGTGAGTGAGTGTGTGTATGCATTTCTCTTTTTCTCTTTATTTTTCCTTTTCATACTAAACTCCACAAGACATTTCTTCTCCTTCCCTCTAGCCATTGTCCTTTTTGTAAGTAAAAACAAACTTCAACTACAGATAAAAATATGAGATTGGCACTTGTCTCCTTCACTAAGGAAAAAAAGGAAGCATAAAATTTTAACTATCCTTAATCAAATTATAGTCTATGCCAATGACTCCATTTTCCTCCTAATAAGCCTTATTTTTCTTACCTCAAATAGTAGCATTTAAAATCAACAGAAAATTCCTGAGCTCACTTTATTGACTTTCTAATTTACTTTCTTGTATTTCAACAACATTGTTTTCTATTCTTTTCATGTATTTATTCCATATATTAATATTTCAACCAAATTACAAACACAAGTGGGAAGATGATAATTACTTATAACTTATTTATAAGTCCCAAATTTCACCAAAAAAAAAAAAAAACCCAAAAACTGTCAAATGAACTTTCAGAACACAGTCTAATTATGTAGAGAAAATTACCCACACAGAGAAGAAGTTAAACCTTTCTTTGCTACAGAGGTTTTGCTTGGGCCTTAAGTTTGCCATTCTGAACACTTTACCATTTATTATGTGCTATTTGATATGGTGTTTAATTTCTCTAAGCTTTGTTTCTTCATCTGCAAAATGAAAATAATAAGATTTACCCCTCCAGGTTATTTTCAGAATGGGAAAATACATACACAAGGCCTGGCACATGAAAGACACAAACATATTTCCTGTTGTTATGTCTATTCTTACTATAAGTAGGTATACCATAATGAATATAAACATTGGAGATTGGCTTCCTGTGCTAAAAACTGTGCCTTTGATATTTAACCTTTCTGTACCTCAATTAACTATATACAAAACAGAGTTAGTAGTATTATATATATCAAAGTGTTGTTGCAAGGATTGAATGAGACAATCCACATAAAATATTTAGGTAACTGTCAAATAGCAAGCATTCAACACATTTTATCAACTATTAGTCATACCAGACTGCAAATTCCTCAGCCTTGTACTATATACTATAAGTCCTCAGTCATAAATTTACAAATGGAAGTGTGATAGCTTTTGAAAGTTCAGAAGTGAAACCTGTAAAGACCCCACTCTTATCTTAAAATGTAAAATGGCCTTAAAGAAAGAGGTCAGGAAATAAAAGTTGGCTCAAATATCATTTAGAGTGGACAGGGCACACTGCAGCATAGAGCAGGCATTTCTATTTAAAACATGTTTATAACAATCCTGCAACATCTGCACCTGTACCCCAGAACTTAAGGTAAAATTGGAAAAAATTGTAGGTGGGTAATAAGATGGCAAATAATAAGTAATAGGTAGGTATTTGGCTATAGGTTTTTGTGGTGGGCTTGTTTTAGATTTTCGGGTATCTCAAAGTAGTAGGCACAAACCAGGAATCTGCTCTGTTTGGAATGGTGTGGATCTCGAGTTGCATCAAGCTTGGAGCTCTGTACTGGAGCAGAGGGCAGCAGCTGTAGAGTCCAGGAAGGAATGTCACTGATAAGGCTAGGAATCCCAGTATGGGGTAAATTGCAGATGGGCTTTGAGGCAGAGGAGCCAGTGTACAGCCACAAAATTACAATGGGGAAACAGAAGGCCTATGGCCACCTACAGACTGAATTCTCCTGGGAGTGGGCAGTCAGATTCAAATGAAATCAACAGGACCAAGCAATGAGCATGAAAACCTTGTTTATAAAATGGAAACTGCCTTTCCAAATTACCTCATGTGGTGGAAACGCTGCTATATATGAGCCATTGTTTATAAGTTTACGTATACCTGCAAAGAGAAGAAAAGGACAGTTCTTGAGTTAGTTTCAATGAAAAATTTCCTCTGAAGCAACACAAATATATGGGGAACAATGAATTAATTAAAAATTTAAGATAACCCCGAAGACTTCCATATCCCCATCACCTAGGGGGACATTGAGATTGTAAAAGAGATTGATGCTGGGTCTACTTATGTCCTGATGATATTAGTAAATGAACATTTGCAAGTTGCCACATTGATTTACTTTATCATGTCATAAAATATTGGGCATTTAACACACCTATTTAGGATCATGTGACCCAGAAGCAACTTTTTGTTTTTCTCCAAATAACGAAGTTTGGTCAAGAAAGAAGACAAATTCTATATTCCACCTCCTCCCCATCCCCTACCAAAAAAAAAATATATATATATATATATATATTGGTATTGAGAAATACTTAATTGTATAATACCAAACCAAAAAAACCTCAATAGCAATATGAGACACTTAAAATCTCCTCCCTCTTGATGCAGGTAGAGCAAAATGGACACTCTCATATACTCCTGGTAAGAACAGATACTAAATGAGCAACTGTTGTTGCAGTATTATTTATATTAGTAAAGAATTAGAAATAATTACATATCTAAAATGGATAAATCATTTATTTTTTATAGTACAATAGACTACAATAGGTAATTAGTAAATCATAGTGATTTGATGAATTTTATTATACAATATTGTACAGCTATTCATAAAAATATTTTCAAAGAGTAAGGGCTTGAGAAAATATTCATAATGGAATTTTAAAAAACAGAAAATTATAGGTGCTAAAAAGTCTAATTTATGTGTGTGTATTTATATATGTGTATATATTTATACGTATATACATACATAAATATATACATATATATATAAACAGTATAAATGTATAAGTGAGAATTATATTTAGGAATAATTTTAATTCTTCTGTAGTTACTGTATTTTCTACAAAGAGAATGATACCCTTATAATTATTTATAATATCATATTTATTTCAAAAGACTACAAAAGCATATAGTACTAACATTTCAACACATTTTCAATTTATATTCTGGATTTCATTATTTTTAGTTCCATTGTTTTTTGTTTTGTTTTTTTTTTTGACAGGATGTTATTCTGTCGCCCAGGCTGGAATGCTGTGGCACAATCTCACCTCACTGCAACCTCCATCTCCCAGGTCCAAGCGATTGTCTTGCCTTAGCATCCTTAGTAGCTGGGATTACAGGCACCTGCTACCACGCCTGGCTAATTTTTGTATTTTTAGTAGAGATGGGTTTCACTATGTTAGTCAGGCTGGTCTTAAACTCCTGACCTCAGTTGACATCTGTCTTAGCATCCAAAAGTGCGGGAGTTACAGACTTGAGCCATTGCACCCTGGCCTACTTTTACTTCCTTAAAAATTACCTATTAAATTTATTTCTTTATTTTTGGTAAGGTTTAGGCGTATGAGTTAACTGTTTTGAATGCTCAGTAATAAATAAATTATTAATCAAAAGAATGACACAGTCTGAAGGTTTTTCTTTAAAAAGTGGCTGTCTTGAAACACAGTGTGTTTTACTTACATAACACTCAATTTTAATAAAATCAGTAGAGATTGGTGCAAGTTTTTGCTGGCTGTCAACCTTTTATTTTCAAGGCTTTTAGGATGTGACTAACATTTGATCCCTTCAAGCATCTTTTATTTGTCACCCTTATAATTAAAAGCATATCTTGTTTGTTACCTGTTGCTTTCTGCTCGACTCTATATAAATTTTACATTCTATTTACCTTCTCTAGATGAAACATTCTCAAGTTTCTTTTGTATTATACATGTTGTAGCATACTGCTAAACATTTAAACAACAAAGAAATGTAGAAGATTAAAACTAGCTATTATTTCACCTTACAGAGGTAACTTCTAAAAAGATATCTTCTAGAGCTTTTGTCTTTTTATGTATGTGAGTTTAGGAAATGAAATTACATGAGACATATAGTTTGAGGATATCTTTTGAAGTTGATAAATAAGGAGCTCATAAACAATTTACAATCTCCCTGAGTATAGGACTTAAGTCATGTACTTCGTATAATAGATGCTTGAAAATTTTATGTTAAAATAAGAGTGAATAAATGTCACATAATTTTTAATGAATGAATTTTAATTCATTAAAAATTCATTCATTTTTAATGAGTAAATTTTAATTTTTACATGGACACAGCCTAACTTATTTTTCAGTCCCCAAGCATGGACATGTAAGGTATTTCCAGATAAATCCATTACAAACAAGCCCATGATGAACAGATTTCTGTATATTTTGTCATTCAAAACGTCTGATTATTTGAGGGGGATAAATTTCAAGAAATAACATTTCTGTTTCAAAGTATTTGCACATTTCACATTTTGATACCTATGACCAAATACTCTCAAAAGAGTGTTTTTATTTTATTAAAAGGCTGAAAATTGAATATTTATAGAGTTTGTGTTCAATATGTTACACAAATCTATTTAATGTATTTAATGAATTAAAGCAAAGCTTCAGTTGTTAAAATAAACACTAATTCTGGGAATAAATAGTGTCAGCAAATTCTACTCTGTTATTAATTAATGTTCTTACCCACTTTTGATATTCCATTTTCATATTTGGTGCGCTCCAGCATGTGATAGACTATTCTGCTTCGAGTAGCATTGCTGAAGAAGGTGTCCTTATTATTTATTATGAAGCTGTTAAGATGAGGGGATTGATTTTAATATTCAAAGCAGAACACAGAATCTAGCAATAGTTACAAGTTCCATTAAAGCTAATGCATATGAAGTATAGTAAACCAGAAGGGAAATCATCCTGTTTAAATAAATTAATTGACAGAAAAAGAAATCACTCATAAATAATAAAAGGCATTATCAAATATTCATTTTGTTATCTTCTTTCAGTTTATAAGGAACTCTAGGTGTCCTCCCATTTCTTGTTTCACATGGAACAGGGGGAGAATAGATGGCCAATTGGCTCCCATATATTTTATACTACCTTAAGCAATGTATTTCCAAATAGAACATGTCAAAAATTGATGTTATACTCCAAACCATGCTTTCCAATTTAGCTTATCTGGATTTCATAGCCTTAACAATGAACAATTGTCCTACCTTTCCCTTGATGCTCTACTACTGTCACCATGGTAAGAGTAGCAAGGAGGAACCTTTTGTAAGCCAATGATGTAAGAGCAAAAGCATGACCCCAAGAGGAATGGAAGGGTCTGTGTTCAGTATTTACTTTAGTATGCTGGGAACCTCCACAAAATGGGAGTGTTCTGGGTCTTGCTTCACTTCTGACACTTCGTGTTTCTAGTTACATTATCTATGAGTGATAAATCACCATTGTGTCAAACACGTAGTCCTGAATTAGTACGTCTTCTATGATGGTTGCTTCTTCTTCACTTTCCATATTCAAACAAATGCCAAACTGTGTAACTTTTCTGACTAAACTCTCTCTCCATCTGTTGTTCTGGGTCTCAATGCCTCTTCTTTAGATTATGAGTAGAACATCCTCCTAACTTGCCATGCATTTTCCCACCTGACTTTTAATGCACAGCTCTGATTCTTAGAGCACTCCCTTACTTTCAGTGTGCCAACAGCTTTCCTCTACAAGCATCATTAAATTTCTTATTTTCCTCCAAAGCTCTCGGTACTTGCATTCCAACTTACTCTTCAGTCTTATGTCTAACAGCTCTGGCTTCTTTTACCCAATCATCTGTCAACTTGTAAAATTATTAGGTTCATGCAAATGCGATTACTTTGTACCAACATAATATCATCACCTTAAAATCCCATGCTTCTTTTCCTTTGGATTTTGCTCTGGTCCTTCTTCTCTCCTTATGCCAACCCATATTTTTACCTGGCAAAAAGAGCTATTTCCTTCGAAAAAGCATACCAGATCCTCTCCTTTGGATGTGGTGCTCTCCCTCCTACAAAATGCACATTTTATTTCTGTCTTTCTTAATACATTGACTTTACTCTGCCTTGTTTTTAGGTAAATATGCACATGTGTCTACTTGATTAGACTCTGAGTTCCTCTAGTATTCTTGTCTCTGTACTTAGATGTACAAAATTCAGGGTCCTGTGAATTGCAGGTAGCAGAAGGAATGTCCACCTGACTCTTTCACCAGTAAATTGATTCAGCATTCCCTCAACAAATAATTTTTAAGCAAATAAATACCATTTTTCATGGAGTTACATTATAGAGAGGAAATAGCTGATGCATAAGTAAAAAATAAATAACAATTTCAGATAATTTCTATGAAGAAAAATGACATAGTATACTGGCATAGAGAATGACTGGGACAAGGGCACTTTAGGTCATGTTTTCAGAGCCAGTCTCTCAGAGGTGGTGACGTTTGAGTGGGAGCTGAATGACAGGAAGGACTATGCCACATCAAGATTGGGGCAGAGCATGGCAAACAATGAGAACAGCAAGAACAAAGACTCTGAGTTAGGACTAAGCTTGAGCTTTCAATGGATAGAACCAAGGCTTGTATGGCTGGAGTGACCAAATGATGGGAAAAAATGCAGAAGATGGAGTGACAGTACTGGCCAGTAACTACAGCATCTATGCTCATATAGTACATAATAAGAAGCTTGAATTGTATTGTAAGCACAAATGGAAAGCTACTTCAGAGTCTTAAGCAAGGCGGTTGTATGATCTGGCTGCTATTTTCCAAAGATTACTCTGGTTTCTTGGGTTTAAAAAGAAAGAGTAGAATGTTTTTCATTTGGTGTATCACAGATCCTTAAAGGTCCTGAAAAAGTCCAGCAAAAAGCTGAAAAAGCTTCCATGAAACTGTGACCTCTCTGTAAACTTGACAGTCATTTGGAATTTTATTCCTTCTGCCATTCCAATATCATTGGAATTAGAAAGCATGCTTCTAGTTACACCTCCAAGAATAAGTAATAAAATAAATAGACTATTGGGAAAAGGAGGGTTTCCCATTGACTGCTGGCTGTGTTACATGTTTGGTGGTCTGGAATTCTTTTTCATCCAACCTTTCAACTTTCATCTCAGAATATAGGTCAATTCAGAATAGTCTATAGCAAAGTAGGCACTACAGCTATAGTCCTTTAATAGATCATGCCTTTGCCTATCTTTATGTTTACCCCACTTAATTATAAATTTACATTTTTGTCTGCCCCATTAGACTGGGAGTACCCTGAAGATAGAAACTGTGTCTTAAGTTCCTTTATATATACAACCTGTGTGATATGGAACCACACTAAATACTAGTTGAATGAATACATGAATAAATAAACAGGTATGTATGTAGGTAGGCAGGTAGGTGGAGAGAGAGTCATGCAACAAATCTCTTTTAAAATCTTCATTCATTTTAGTTAGATAAGATTGAACTAAAATAGCTTAATTAATAAATATATGTTTATTGAAAACAATTATAATTTATTACAACAACCTATTACTCAAACATGCTAATTAATAGTAATCCTATTATTATTAACATTAATGTTATTTTAACTGAGTCACCACCACAGTAATTATTTTGAAAGTGTTAGAAACTAGACTACCAGTCCATGGGTTTACAATTAATTATTCACTACTGAATGTCTCTAAATAATCAAATTGATAACAAATTAATAACACTCACTTAGTGTTGTTTATAAGTGTGTATTTTAATACAATAACATGTTCTCTGATGCATTTGGTAAACAATGAAAATGTTCCCAGGTATTTTTATTCTATAAACAAGCCCCAAATCATAAAGGTATAAAGGCAGGAAGTGTGAAAAAAGAAGGAAACTCACTGGTGAATTCGTGCACGGCTGAAGGGGCCAGTATAGCAGTCTGACTCCTCTAGGTCTGGAAAAGCTGACTTGTCAAGAACCATTGGGTTATGGGCCATCCAGTTTTTGATTCTTCTAAAATAAGTTTGCATCCTGGAATAAAGTCACATTTTAGAACAAGATTAGGTTGTATTCTACCTAATCTTGTAGTGGACTACCTTCCACTACAATTCTCTTAAGTACTAAAGAGACTTTTCTGAAAAGAGATACACACACCTACACACACCACACATAACATGCATTGCTTCTGCTCTCACGTGAAAGAAGAAAATAGCAAAACAAACCAAATCTTGCATTTGTTTAAACTCTTTCAGGACAACTATGTTATCTTCATGAAAAAATAAAATAATTGTGGAAAAGATTTCAGAAACAAGATACATAAAGGTGGTGGTAGGAAAGAGTATTTTTTTAAAGCAGCAAAATATATTTATTAAAACAGTGTGTGTATACATGTATGTAGCTATACAGATATAGAAATAGATCACTCCCTAATTTTTTAAAATGAACAGAATTGTAGCTCTAGAAAAGTGAAAACTGAAAATAAATAAATGTCTGTGACCCATTCAGTGGCACTGGGAGTCATAAGTGTGGTAGATAGCAAAATTTAAAGTCAACCAAAACTGAGTTATAATTTATTGCACTGTACTAGCCATATAAACTTGTACAAGTTATTTAACTTCTTGCCTCAGTTTCCTCACTCATAAAATAAAAGTAATGCTGATCTTACTGGAGAGTTGCAAATTGGTGTTTTATTCTAGACTTGATAATTTACAATAAGAAACACTGGGACAAGGAGCCTTTGCAGGACTTTTAAGATTCTCATGAACATAGGAATAATCTGATTATCTTGTTAACACACAGATACTAATTTAATGCGCCTGGAATGGGGACTGAGATTCCACATTTTTACATAGCTCTTAAGGGACACTCACGTTGCTAACCACTGACTATACTTTGAGTAATGGGTTTAGCATAGACACCTGGCATATACCATTTGGACAATGTTTTGGGAAATCTGACATCAGGATATTTTGGCTCCAGCTTTAGATTATGCTAATAACCTAGTTCTATTACAACATATATAGTGATTGAAATCAGATTTATTTTACAGAGAAAAATAGAAACAGAGGAAACATATTGATTGCAAGGATTGACTCTGAAAGTCTAAACTGAGAGTTACTATAATAATTGCTGTGTTTAATAACACGATTGCAACATTTACACACTATGAGTTTCTATCTGGGGAAATTTTTGGCTTCTGCAATAGCAAGTCAAAGTAGCAGGAGAGAATATTTTTGTAGAGAAGTATTAAATATAACACACCTCAATGTTTCTTTGGCCAACTCTGCTTAAATTTCAGAAAAAAAAATTAGTATAGCAATGGGTAGGCAGTGAATATTGTATCTCAGGAATTATTTCATTCAAGCCTATCATGGTAAAATTACCATGTGTAATCTGAAATAAAAATCACACCCTAATGCAAAGACTAGTATGTGAAAGTCTGGATTTTTCCTTTGCCATGTAAGGTTATCATTTACTTATCAACTCATTTTTGTTTTTGGAGGAAACGAAATTTTTTTTCTAGCCTAAAATAATAAATATGTAGTATCTGAGGTGTTCATTTTGCTTCTTCTTATAAAGACAGCCTTTAAAATAATAAAATGTCACCTCATTGGAGAGCCTGATGTATAGAATAGATTGCATCACAATTACTCAAGCTTTTTAAAATTAGCATAGTTGAAAAAAGCAATGGGGTAGGAGTTGGAAGATAGTGTTCTAGTGCTGGTCACTAAAACTGGGCTAAATATTTCCAATCTTTGAGCTTCAGATTCCTCATTTCTAAAGAGAGGGAGTAATTCCATCTGTTCTCCTTCATTAGGAGGCTAGGAGGATCAAATAAAAGGAGGCAATTCTAATTACACTTAGAAAATGCTGATGGGCGGACGGGCGCGGTTGCTCATACTTGTAATCCCAGCACTTTGGGAGGCTGAGGCAGGCGGATCATGAGGTCAGGAGTTTGAGACCAGCCTGGTCAAAAGCGTGAAACCCTGTCTCGACTACAAATACAAAAAATTAGCTGGGCGTGGTGGCGGGCGCCTGTATTACCAGCTACTTGGGAGGCTGAGGCAGGAGAATTGCTTGAACCAGGGAGGCAGAGGTTGCAGTGAGATCGCGCCATTGCACTCCAGCCCAGGCAACAGTTTCTTTTGAAACTGTTGAAAAGAAAGAAAAGAAAGAAAAGAAAGAAAAAGAAAGAAAGAAAGAAAGAAAGAAAGAAAAAAAAAAAGAAAGAAAGAGAAAGAAAAAGAAAGAAAGAAAGAAAGAAAGAAAGAAAGAAAGAAAGAAAGAAAGAAAGAAAAAAGATGCTGACAGGCTACAGTACCTAAGGCTCTAGTAGCTCTGACAATATCATAAACAAAATAGGTATAAATGTGAATTTTAAATATTTTTAAAAGAAATGGAATAAAAGTGGTTTCAGACCATCATTTGTGATGTTAACAGAAAATAAACAATATTATCACTTTAGGCTTTTCACATACACTTCCTGTGAAGGAAGGGGTAAACAGAGTCTAATAGTGAAATATAGTTGGCCTGAATTTGAATACCAGGATGCAAGAATCTAGGTTATTAATTTCTTTAAGCCTCACTCAGTTTTTCTTCTCTTAATTGAAAAGGAATACCTTGAGAATTAAATGAATAATGTCTGACACCACAGTGCACAGAACATAGTAAGCAATCAATAAATGTTTATAATAATAATGATATATGATTTGTACTACTAAAAGTACCACCACAATGCCACCAATGTAATGTAATATATTATCTACACTCTACTAAACATTTACTGTGTTAGACATTTTGCAAACTCAAGATATCATGGCATAATGTAAAAATAGAGCTTTAGGTTTCTTTGCTGCAATCAGAGAAAAGCTAAGAGAATTCTAAGAAAATGGAAAACAAGTCAGGATTAAAGGGTCAAAAGAACTTGACTGAAGCACAAACTGTGCCAAACCAGCTGTGAAAGCTGGGCACGAGGTGTGTGGGTGGGGATGGTACAGGAATCTTTTTTGTTTTATGGCTTGTAAAACTGGCTATTCTCTTTTCTGCTTCCCTTGCAGAGTCATTTTTAAGATGCTTTAATAATTGAATGTGAAAATGCTTTGTGAATAAAAATAAATTGCAGTGATAATAATACTAACAATTTCCTCTCAACCTGCTGGAGAAGTGATGATCTTCAAACTGAACAATTGCCTGTACATTAATTATCCCCTAATGTGTACTGCTCAAGACTAAGCATGTGAGAAAACTTCTTCCTCACCCCAGGAAAAGCAAAGCAGAAATGAAACTAAATGGCCACGTTTGATTTCAACTTTTCACTTTCTAAAATGTCTACAGATTGAGTTTATAAATTTTGTAATTTTTTTCAGGTTAGTGTTACATAATTTTACAGACTACTTTTCTATTTATTCCTTGTCCCTCCCATGTGATCCACAAAGAAACAGAACAAAGAGTTACTTATTATAAGTAAAATGAAAAGAGGTGGGCTATAGTAAGGTTCAAGATATTTTAATAATCATTTCAAATAACTGATAACTGAATTTTCATTTTATGAACTTACACAGAAAATGAGAAACATAAAAGATAAAACAAATAATGACATATAATAGTGTTTGCTTTTCTAGTTTACTTTTAAATTTGACCAAAACAGAGAAAAGAACATTTTTTTACCTTATTAAAAATGTTTCTCTAGGATTTACTACATGCATTTGTCATGATAACTTTATATGAACAGACATGTGTTCCAGTTTCAATATACAGAATTTTATACTCCCAAAAGGAAGATTCACGTTTAACAGAAAACCCACTAACTATGCAGTAACAAAGTCTCACTAATTCTATAGTAGCAAACTGAAGCAAAACTAGATTCTATCAGCCATCCAACAATAAGCAGGCATATGCAGAGCAAAGAGAAGAAAACCTACAGTTGCAAACTTGCATAATATAATATTCCAGTGACTAATTTCATTAGCAAAATGACTGGAAATTTGCTACATAGACCAGGACCAAATACCCACATGGGAGATGAGAACTCATTCTAAGTGAGAATGTTAACCTGACAGAAAAATGTAACTTGGCTGAAGAGCATCATTAGTTTAAAAAGGAAAAGCTATCTCAGTACTAATTTCTTTAATATTCATTCTAATTTCAAGGTTCTTTTCTCCATAATTTACTTTTCTTGTCACTCAATACTGCTACACCTAAAATTAATGCTTGAAAGAGACCAACATTTTCCCATTCAGATTTATAAAGTTTGAAATTATATTCAATTTTCTTGAGTAAAGAAACTAGATTTATTGAATCATTTCCTCAAATGGCCTGTTATTCACACTATGCAGTTCTTCTAGTTTTTATGTTATTCTGATTTGTAACATACATCTGCAACATTATTCAATGGAGCATACTCTACTACATTCACATGCTTTATCTTTGTTAACTGATTCTTTTGCAAGGTGCAGAAAACTGCCAAAGCTAAGAAGCTTTTTAATTGAGCATTCATTAAATGGAAGCTGATTTCTTCCAGTTAAATAGTGACAAGAAGATTCAGGAGGAGGAGTTCCTTCCATCTCAGGGTTGTGGTTTGATTAACTTTTTTTCCACAGTTACTCTTACCGCAATAGGTAAAGGGCTAATATTTTGAAGTAAAGCTACTCAAAAGTTCATATTCAACACTAGGATAAGAGACCTACCTTTGAGTGTTAGAATAAGAATGGGTCTGCGATTCAAAAGATGCTATATGGCTTTGGTAAAGTACCTCATCTCTCTGAACACTAGTCTTTACCACTTCTTTCAAATGAGAGAACTGGACTGAATGATACAGAAGGTCTTTGCTGGGTTTATTGTTCCATTTCTAGTGGGTCATCATTTAACCATCGATCCTCACCTTACAAATATTTTTAAAATTAAAATATTGTAAGATGCTAAATTGCAATTAAAATCCTTCTTCCATAACATTATAGCATGGGAAGAAGCCAAGAATGGCAATGATAAATTGTTAACAAAAAGACTATCGGATTTTAAATGTTATTCAATTTGGCATAAGTCATTTTGGAAATCTCTTCAACAAATCAATAGAATCATTCTTCCTACAATTTACGGCTGCTGATATGGGAAATCAAATATCTTCTATTTTTTCCAAATGACAAATTGGTTATAAAGAAATGATTCACCCACCAACCTGCCCATTGACTTGCTCCTCCCGTCAGTGTAATAGCACTTTTTCCTGAAAAACACAATAGAAATCAGCAGAGGAAAGTAACAAGAACCATAAAGTGATACGAGTGAGTGACAAAATTCAATCATATTGAGTATTTCCATACCCCAAGCTCCAAATGCTTAAGAAAGTTAAGATGTTTGAAGCAACCCAGCATAATATGAGGAACATCAACTTTACATTGCTTTAATTTCAGACTTTAAGATACTAATAACAAGGATACTCTAATAAATCTGCAGACCACTTTTTAAAAAATGAAATGATTTTTAATACTATTTTTTGAAAGTCTGTCTTCTGCCACTCAATTTATACTAAATGAATTCTTTTCTTACATTTTATATAAAGCCACCCATCTATCTATACATTCATTTAATACATATGTAATAAATACTTCTGATTTGCTAAGGAGTGGCAAGTTAGAACCACCAAAACTTTAGAGAAAAAAGAGGGACGGTCAGTTTGTGTCCTCAGGAAGCTTCCTTGATAGTTGAGGTGAGGAGTCATCGGTTAAAATTAAATGTGAAAATGCAAGAAAACAGAGAGGCTATGGACATACTGAGGATGGGGAGCTCAGTTAGTTTTTACAGATGGAGGACAAAGGACACAGGGAAGTTTTCCCAGAGGTTATGTCACCTGTACTGCATCTCAAAGCATGAATGGGAGTAGTCTTTTGGGTAAAGTGGTTACACATGACATCCTAGATAAAGGTAGCAGCAGCATGTGAGGTGGTTTTTGGGACAAAACCAAGTATTATAAGATTTAGAGAACTGCAACCAATCTGGTAATAGCTAGAGTATATACTAAAAGTTGAGGATCGTGATAAAAGAGTGGAGGATGGTAAAAAAGACACAGATGATAACGGGCCTTAATAACTAATGCTAAGGTTTTTAGATGAAAAGTAATGGGGAAGATATTGAATGTTTTAAGTAGAGGTATAACATTTCTTAGAGAAACTAAAACTTAAGGTGACAGAATTAATCTACGAAATAATTTTCTCCACATGCTCATGTTGGAGCTTAGAAATCTGATATTCTTACTCTTCTAAAATACCTCTTTATCTTTATCACTAAAATTCATTTCAGAGGATCAGTAAACTCCATCATGCTGTGGTATCTAGAAAGCAGGGTTAATAGGACATCCAATATCTAGCCCTTAAGTATGTTATTAGCTGCTTAGAAAACTTGAAAACTTTTGGAGATGCCATATTTCATTGTAATCCCTTTCATTGCTAACTTTTGGAAATACCATATTTCACTGCAATTATATTGCCAGAAAATAACTTTAAAGTTTTCCCCGCCGTATTCCAACACTAACTTCAAATACGGAACATTGAAGCTTGTTATATCGATCCTAAACTCACACTTTAAATATCTTCTCCATTTTTTTCAAACATACACAAAAGCTTGGGTGCATACTTCACTCAATTCTTACTGGACTGTAAACTCCTCTTTTTTTTTTCAGTACCACCTCTACATAGATTGTCTTGCATTATTTTCCCTGATGTAACATAGCTCTTCACTAACAGTTTTTTTTTAAAAGAAGCGTTTCTAAAAGACAGTGGTTAGTTTTGTTTCTCTGACTTTGTATGTGTAGTGCATACTTGGCACATTGCTTGAAAAATAGAAAGCACTCAGATGGCCGATGAATAAATGCATGAGCCTTTGTTTAATTCACAGTTGCATTTATCTCTTTCAGTGCCAGAAAGCATTTCTCATTAATAAACACTTACTGAATACAGTATCATTAAAAAAAAAAAAAAAAGGCATGTGCAGAGAAAGAAAAATTAAAATGACAGCACACTTCTGGGGAATAACACAAAAGAAACAGTAATCTCTCTAAAGTATCAAGAAAAAAAAAAAAAAAACTATAAATGCGGAAATTGGTATAAAATAATTCCCAGCATCAAACAATCCAGGGGCATTATTAAAATGAGATAAAGTTTACAACTGTAATTATCAGGAGTAGATATGGTTAGGAATATTATAAAAGAATATGGAGAGGGTTGGCATTTGAACTAAACACCACTTTCTATTTGTATTGATGGTTGTTTGAATACTTCTCTTAAACAATTGAAACTATTGAGAAAATGCATTAGGAGAAATAATGAAAATTGAGAAAGAAAGTCATACAAGATAAATACAAATAGTTTTTAGCCCATCTATATGGTAAGAGCAAATAAAAATGAAAAATAATAGACTTAATTCTCCCTGTTGAAAATGAAAGAGACTTCTCCTCCCACTTTCTTCTAAGAGCATTAACTGAAGAAAACTTGCCATTCTAAGTATTTTCTCCTCTCTTTGAAATGTATATGGTTCTTTAGAAAATGAAATGGGTCTTTTGTCAGGACTTAGAGGCCATCTTTTTACAATGTAAATATCAAGGGAGATAGCAGCCCAGTCCCAGTTTCTGTGAGAGGTAGGAACTTAACTTTGGTGGATGCCTTGCACCAAGTTGCAGAACTACCTCCTGTCAAAAGATATGAGAGGTTTTATTTCTCTTCTGTATGAAGCTAATTAACAGCCCAATTACCAGGTGAATCTATGATGAACTATGAGTGCTGTTAAGTCCTCTTACTTAAAGGATTGATACTGTTTGTTTTTGTGTTCCCACCCAAATCTCATCTCAAAGAGTAATCCCCACGTGTTGAGTCCGGGAGGTGATTGGATCATGGGGACAGTTTCTCCCATGCTGTTCTTGTGATAGTGAGTTCTCATGAAATCTGAGGGTTTATAAGTGTCTGGAAGTACCTCCATTTCTTCTCTCTTCTGCCATCTTGTGAAGAAGGTGCTTCTTCCTCTTCTGCCATGATTGTTAAGTTTCCCCAGGCCTTACCAGCCATACAGAATTGTGAGCCAATTATACCCCTTTTTCCTTTATAAATTATCCAGTCTCAGGGAAGTTCTTTATAGCAGTATGAAAACGGACTAATACAGGGCTAGTTATTGTTTATTTTGAGAATATGCATGCAATAGGTTGTATTTGTTTGGCTATATTTAAAAAATGAGATTTCCCTTTGTCTTTACAACTTTTTAGTTAATTGACTATGGTAAGAATCACATTCTGGTTTAATGTTTATTCAATAATGAAATGGTTTTCTTCCTTTTCTATCTTTGTGGAGAGGTTTTCTGGGGGGCGCAGATTTTGTTTTTAATTATATTTTCAATATACTATATATCTTTGATCCAGGAAACAAAAAACAACCTGTAATTCTCCTTAATTCTTCTGTATAAATGAACGTGCAGGGTCAAATCTTCTTCTATGTATAATCACCCATCCTGTAATGTAGTAACTGTATGCTGTTCATGTACAGTGCTTTCTTTATTTTTCCCTTAATTTTCACTTGAAAGGTTCTGCTACTTTATACCTTGCAGCAAGACTGCAGTCATCTATCTACCTATTATAACAACCACTCCAAATTATAAGTAAATGATTGCCTCAACCACTGAGGCAGCCAGAGCTCAACAAACTCAATGGGCATCTGCAGAGATGCCTGTGTGGCTAAGTGAGGAGGACAATCGAATGGGTGAAACCCTGACCCCCATGCTGCTATTTTATAGATTGGGCTCCCATTAGATTTTTTATTTCATTTTATTTTTGCATAAAAAGTGATCTAAGTTTTATCCCAACTATGATAAAAAAATAATTGCTCTTAATGTTTTAAAAATATAGCTCCAAATTTGCTTTGTTTAAAATATTTGTGAGACAATAGGCTTGACAAAAAATGTGAGGTTGACACTATCTGGGCACTCCATCTGAGAAGCCACAGGATGACTGAATCTTTTTTTTTTTTTTTTTTTTGAGATGGAGTCTCGCTCTGTTACCCAGGCTGGAGTGCAATGGCTCCATCTAGGCTCACTGCAACCTCCGCTTCCTGGGTTCAAGCAATTCTGTTGCCTCTGTCACCTGAGTAGCTGGGACTACAGGCACGTGCCACCACACCCAGCTAATTTTTGGTATTTTTTAGTAGAGACAGGGTTTCACCATATTGGCCAGGCTCGTCTTGAGCCCCCAACCTTGTGATCCACCACCTCAGCCTCCCAAAGTCCTGGGATTACAGGTGTGAGCCATCACACCTGGCCATAGTGAATTATCTTAAAATGTGCTGAACTCTCTTAATGTGTGAGAGTAAGAATGAATAGGAATCAGCTTTGAATCACAAGAAAAATGCTAAAAGGATTTGACATTTCTGGAATGCAGAAGACCCAGGCTAAGTCCTTCCTGATATGACAAAAACTAGAAAACGTAGCCTATTATAAACCTTTGAAATTGTCCTGGTTAGATTTGAAACATCAAGTCCAACACGTACGTCATATTGATTTTGAAAGAAAAGTCAAGAAAGAAGTGTCTGGAAAAATGTAGGCACATTAAAATTTTACAAATATATCCAAGCAGAAAATTTAGATAAAATGCTCAAGATTCATGTTTATAACACAAGGAGGAAGAAAAAAACTTCAGAAAAGTTATAGCTAACAAATCTTGCAACTTTTCTTCATTGAATCTGACAGGTAGGTTTCAAAGATAAATAAATATGAAACTGCTCAGCACAGGTAAAATTTTTGATGTGTAAATTAAAAAAAAAATTCTAAAACGATGTGTATGTTTCCTATTTAGGTCATTATTTTGTATAATTTAATTTTAAGGCAATATATGTTCTTGAATATGCCAACAGTTGTCAACTGGAGACTAGATTGGCCATCATGAAATCCCTTTGCCACTTAGTTAATGCTTGAATTGCATTCTCTTCTTGTGAGTTGGCTGCTAACCCAAATTTCCAGTGTACCTTGGAAATAAATGACAAGTTTGTTTCTAAGGAGTTAATGTTACATCTATTATTTACACTGATCTGGAAAGATGTTCCAAAAGAACTCTGTGTTCTAGTATTTCTCAAACGGTTTTCTCAAGAACACCAGTATCACATGGAAATTAGGAAAAGGCTATACAGTTTATAACTGTCTCTTTAAATTTAGAAAAAATATAAAGATCATTAAAATATTAAAATCTCTAAGACAAGATTTCCTTACCATGAACATCACAAACATTTGGAATGATCTCTGGTAGCAGGTTCCAGAAACCTTCATTTTAATTATTTTCCAGGTAATTTTAATGTGCTCTAAAGATTGAGAGCCACTTCTCTAAAAATACTTTCAGTAAATATGCTTATTTATTAACTCAGAAATTCAGAAATAAATTTGGTCACAGTATATTCTTCCTTTAAGATCCTGTTGAACTAGTTTTACTTTGACACACTTTGGAAAATGCTGCATATTTAAAAATATTTATATTAGTAAATCATGAGAATTTCCATGGTGTTTTCTCAGAGTTTCCACAATCACAATTCAATAATCATATTTTTTTAAGAACATTATAAAGAAGAGACTTCAGGCAAAACATCAATTAAAAGGGATAGAGTACATATATTCCATGTTTTTCCACCCTTTTTCATTTTTTTCTTGGATAGAGTAGAACTCTTCTTTTACATGCATTCCTACCAGGCAATTAAAAAATGACTAAGAAGATGAGGATCAATACCTCACATTTTATCTTGAATACTATAGAGGCTTGTCATAATATTTGAGAATATCAGCACTTCTGCCAGAGTTGGACTCTTTCATGCTACCAGGTCTGACAAATTTCTCCATAGTTTTGAATCGCACTTAGTTTTCACTTATATTCATTATCTAGAGGCTCTTACTTGGCATTCTGTTGGTGCTAAACCTTTTAAAACTTTCACAACTGAGGAGGCATATTAAGATGCACATCAGTGTACATGCTCATGTCTTCAATGTGAGTAAATACTTGCATAGTAAGAGCATTGTTGAATGTTACTGTGAGAAATGATGGAGGAAAGTGACACATTCTGCATAAAACACAAGATATTCAATATAGGGAAACTGATGTCTATTCAATCTTTACTTGCCTAAAGGAAGGACTGAAAAATCTTTGAAAGAAGCAGTCCTCCTATTACCATTTATTTCTTGTTATTGAGGACAGAATTAAGAAACCATCCTGGTTGCATTAACCTGAGAAATGATTTTGCTAATGACTATACAGAGAAGGAAAATTTATATACACAGAAAATACTGTACGCTTATATATTCAGCCTTCTGTGAAAATAAAAAGAGTTCTGCCCACACATATGAAATAAGAAGTGAGACTGATCTTGGGTACTGTTGTAAGTCAAAATTGAAAATAACTGTTTTACTCTCCCACTAGGAAGGTCCACCTTGAAATGATATAGTGTCTAGGGAATCAGAAAGTTTGCCAAATTAGACAAACACATTAGGAATAAAAAAAACAACTGTCCAGAATAACTGAAATTTTGAAAGAAAAAGCATTTTCTCTGCAGAAGTGGTTGCATTTGTTGGTCTAAGATGACGCAAAAGATAGACTCGTTTTAATACATATTGAGAAAAAATAAAGTAAAATTTGAACGTACCTGAAGGGCATCCTGATATTCAGCCTTTCTGCATACTTGCACAGCGTGTCCCATGGAATGTGAATTTTGATAAACATGATATCAGGGCTTGCAATAGCTGGCTGCAAATGATAGCAAGATAGGCAACATTATTTGGAATTAGAGCTGATGATATCATGCCATAGTTTTATTTGGGAACAACAAACATTGTCCCCTTGACTATGAATGGTCACTGTCACTGATTTAAAAGAAATTTATATGGTTAAAAATTTCTTAGTGAAGAAAAACCTTGATAAAAATGTAATAATGGCATTGTGTACAAGAAATAGCCACCTAGGTGAATTAGTGCATTTTCTTACATTGATCATTATCAACATGCAGAATCCCCAATCAGAATAATCAATCATAAACCATTTAAGAATGTGAATTTAATTTTGAAGGGCTTTTTATCATGACCTCATTCCTGTTCAGAGGGGAAAAAAACACTGCCAGTTACCATCAGTCATTTATTAACTAATTGACTAACTTTTCTACCACATTTTATTGAGTAACTACTGGGTCCTTAAACTATGTGCTTGGTCCTGTGATAATACTGGAAAAAAATGGAATATAAATCATACAAGTCTGTTGTCTCATACAGTTGTCGTATTTGCTTTCTTTCTTTCATCTTTGCATCTGTTTTAACTTGTATCAAACAAATAAGATTAAAGTGTCTTTGACTAGACAAAAGGTTTTTAAGCAGAGTTAAGTATGCATAAGAATTATCTAAAGAGCTTTTACAAAATGGGGTACTCTGATTTAATTCTTGGAAATTCTGGAATTGTTTGCATATTTTGATCATACTGCTATACTCAGAGAATCTGATTCCCTTCTGAATAAGAGAATCATCACAATTCTTAGACTTGGTTCTAAAACAAATAAATAAATGACTACCTAGGCATCATATATCACTCATATTCACATTCAAGCCTATTTTAAAAGGAAGCCAACATAGTTATTTCCTGAAGTTCCTACAATATCTGAGGTTCATAGAGCATGGGACAAGTATATACCCATTCTAACATTGAATTCCACAGGGCTTATCCTTCACATGATTATAGGAGCTAAACATCTGAAATACAAGAACTGTTGTCTGCTTCCTTTTAGATGTACCCACCAGGTTACACACAGCTCAGCTCTATTTGATTAACACTGTTCATTGTATTTCCATTAGATGTAATTTATCAAGAAATACATGAATCTTAAAAGCTCAGGAATAGGGTAGAAATTATTCGATTTAATTTAAAATCATATAGGTTTTAAAATTAAACTATTAAGTTTTCATATGCATATATTACTAGAGCCTCATAGTCTAAGCAGGGCTAGTTTCATGGATTTGCCAGATGATATTTTATTTTTGTGTTACCAACATTTTATTTTTTTAATTTTTTGAGATGGAGTCTTGCTCTTGCTGCCCAGGCTGGAGTGCAATGGCGTGATCCCAGGTTCAAGTGATTCTCCTGCCTCAGCCTCCTGAGTAGCTAGAATTACAGGCATACACCACCATTCCTGGCTAATTTTGTATTTTTAGTAGAGACAGGATTTTGCCATGTTGGTTAGGCTGGTCTCAAACTCCAGACTACAGGTGATCTGCCCGTCTCAGTCTCTCAAAGTGCTGGGATTACAGGTGTGAGCCACCTCGCCCAGCTGTATTAGCAACATTTCTAAACAGTATTTAAAGAACCAATGTCACTGGACTAATATTCAAACCTAGAAGACAGCCTGGCTACCCTTTCCATTGGGCAGGCACCTTCACAGACCAGAAGTTGCCAGTTTGTTCCATACAGTATTAGAAACACAGAAGTGGGGGCTCATTCCACGATCAAGTAAATTTGGGGTTTCTCATTAGAGGACTTCTGAGACACTTTAATATGGATGCATTTGCTAAAAATATCCAGGCAGGTGATAAAGTATGCTGAATATCCAGACTTCTGGATCAAGGATTGTTTTTATCCCTGCGGCTTATTGAGGTACTAGTATTTTGCAAATCACCATGGGAAAAACAGCATAAGATGCTTTCATGTCAGTGCAAATTCCAAAGGACTTTTCCTATTTAAGTATATTTGTTTCAAATTAAAGACAAAGGATTATTAAAATGAAAATTGACAATGCCAGAGTAAACACACTATGTCTCAAATATCTATGGGTCTTTGAATTCAGACCAAGGTTAAACATATTACCTATGCTTGGGTAAAATGTATACAATTTTTAAGTGACCGTTAATTCATTCAAATAACCATTTGTTTAAAAATGTATCACCCAGCTGGAAATCTGTCACTGATTAAAGAAAAGAGAAGATTGTCATGTCATTTCCAGTCTCTTTTAGTCAACGGTACAGATTTGGTGGACAGGTTTTTGGGCAGGAATGATACCGATGAGAAAATCTTTTCAAAACATGAAGAAACATAAAGTGTAAGCCTTCATCTATTTGAATGACTCCTTCATCCAGGGTAAGTGAAAGCAGTGTTAAGTTTTATTATAAATCTCCCTCCTTTATCCTTACAAAAGTTATTAGGTAAGTTGATGATCAAGATCCTTTGTTTGAAATTACAACGTTAGCTACCAGTGTTACATCACACCACCTTGCCTCTCACCAAGCACAGTTTAAATTTCCTCAATCTTTACTGCCAACTTGGAAGAAATCATATGGTATAAATGAAAAACCATGGTATTTGGAATCACAGAGACTTAAGTAAAGATTCCATCTCTACCATTTGCTAGCTCTATGGCCTTAGAAAAATTACTGAACCATTCTTATCTTCAGTTTTCTCAACTGAAAAATGAAGGATTTTATCTCTACCTCACAGAGTGTGAATGTTATAAAAGATTGGGCACATCATAAAGTGCTCATGCCTAATAAATTTTCCAGAAATGTTTTTTTCTCAGTTGACAGCAAGCCTCTCAAATCAGAAACTACAAAAAATGATGATTAATTTCAAAGCTTGAATCTTTCTGTCTACTCCATTCATCTTTGGTAGAGCCTCTTCCTTGGCTCCGTAAACCTTCTTGAGTTGCATAAGGATAAAGCCAGTATTCATCTATGATTTGGGAAGAACTCTGAAGTACAGTGACCTGAATCAAGGTTTAACTTGATGAGTTAAATGTTTTTCTCTGAACTGAGCACAAATTTTATTTAAAAACAAACTATTTCTGTAGACTTTATAGTTTCTTTGGAAGATTTGTCTTTTTCATCTTTATGTATTAAATTGTTCTATGCCTGTACTTCACATTTTTGTTTCGGAGTAGATGTAAGTTCTTATTCAGAGATTATTCAAGGAGAGAAAAACTGAGACCCTGAAGATTACAGAAAATCTATCTAGTCCTCATTTTCCCAAGAAGCTGGAAGAGTGACCTTCATGAAGATGAATGACTTAAACGAAAACCAATCTATAACCAGACTGAGATGTTTGATATGTAGGGCCAAGACCTTGAGAAGACACTGATCATTTGCATTCTCCTAATGGTTCCATGCAGGGTTTGAAAGTAAAATTTCTGTTGTGGAATAGATAGATCTTGGGACAAGAAATAATTTTTCAGGAGCTGGGCCTTATTCTGGTATAAATGGAGGTCTAATTCTCCTTCAGGGCATCATGGTTTCTGAAGTCTAGGCATGTTGGTTGCCAGAGTGCAGCAGTAGCATGAAAGAGAGACTGATAATGTGATGAATGTTGAGAGAGATCTGGGAAGGTATAAGCTCCACAGCAGGAAAACCTGTGTCTCCTACTACTGGAGTTATTCCCGATTTGTTTTATACATATAGCCAGATTCTGATCCTCCCTACCTCCTTCACAGATATCACTCTGGTTTATATCATCATCATCTTTGGTCCGGACTCCTGCAGTACTTTCAAGCAGCACCTCTGCTCACACTCTTGTCCCCAGTGGTCTATTCTTTGTACAAGGGTCAGGATGATCTATTAACATGTGTCTCGGGTCATGCCATTTCTTAGAACCTCATTTCATTCAGAGTGAAAGCCAAAGTTTCTTCAATGACTTACATAGCCTTTTATAATCTTACCCTCAATATCTCCATAACCTCTACTACTACCCTTTGTCTCACTCATTCCACTTCCATCATTTGGTCACTTGTTAATTCTTGTCTGCCCTTGCCTTATCTTTCTTACATACTCTCTTTTCTGTAGTATTTTTACCTTCATTTGCTCTGTAAATGTCAGGAGAGAAGATACCTTGTTTTGCTTACGTATCCCTAGCACCTAGTTCTGTGCTGGACATATAGCAGACATGCACTAGCATTTATTAAATGGTTGACTACGTTAACCTATTTTGAGAACACATTTTACGTATTATATCTAAGCCAGTGTGATGGAGACAAGAAAGCAAGTAAGCCTGAACTATTCTGGAAGAGGGTACTGTGTCAGGATTCAAATTAGCATCATGAACAGTATTGGTTACTAAGTCATTACTGTCAACTTCTAGGAGGTAAAATAATCTAATACACTTAAATAAGGGGATGCTTTAGAAGGATGTTTCTGCAGTACAATAACCACCATCAATAAGTGAAATGCCAAGCTAAGTGCACACACATAACATATCTCATTTTGTACGTCTTAAAATATATAGAGATTTTATCAGCCAACATAACCTTCTTTTATAACTTATTCAACTTAATTTCTCTTTTTCTATACCTCTTCTTAAAAAACAAAACAGAAGAAAAGAAAAGTAGTTTCATTCTCTTGCAGCTACTGGGCAGGGGGCTGGTGTGGGAATGATGCTGTCAGGGAGAAAGATTACCTTTTCCCCAAGAATCAAAAGCTGCCAATCTGGCACTATTCTGTTCAGCTCTGATGAAGGCAGGCTCCTCAGCGAACAAAACACCCACTACCTTCACACTTCACATTATTATTTAATTATTCCACCCCAAATTCCCAAGAGGCAGGAGATTCACTCTTGAGAGAAGAGAAAAAAATTATGTTTTTACAAAGTCACTCCGCAAATTGTTAGCACAGCATGGAAAGAACATAGGATATGATAGCTCATAGCTTTCAATCTAAGAGAAAGACAAATTGCTGATAGAAACTGCATCTCTAGTGCCACCCATGATCTCTGTGCATCCAGTCTTGCTTTTCAAATCTATGTTCTTTCCAGTTATCCAAATTTATCTTTTTTGAAAACAAATGTGATCACGATACTAGCTTGCTTAAAATTATTCAGTAGCTTCCCATTTTTCTTAAGCTAATGATCAGAAGTCTTAAACTACAAAAAAGAATGACTTAACTATAGTCATTTTTTCCAACATCTTTTAGTAACCTGCTTTTTCTCGTATTGAAAAATATCCATGTATTTCCTCCTACCACCATCTTGTTCTTTAATTGATCTATGCTGTGGTGGGATCTGGTATTAACAGTTTAAAAGATCACCACGTGACTCTAATATACAGTTCAGTATTGACAATCCCATCTGGCCCCTTTATTTACCTACATTAGCTACTATTCATTTTTTAAATCTCAATTCAAAGTTTATTTTTAAAATTTCTCTTTTCGTCTTCCCTCACGCTCCAGACCATACCATGGCCCTTGTTACAAGCCATTTTAGCACCATTTACTTTCTTTTTAGGCCACTTGTCACAGCTTCTAATGATAAAGGTTAACCTAGTAAAGAATTTTAAACACTGTATTAGTAAGTGTAGATTGAAAGCTACCTTGGGTCAGATCATCTTTCTTGTGCAGTCTCTGAAGTACTCTCTTAGTTATGCAAGTATTAGTCAAGTGGAAAGAATGTAATACAATTTTTTTTTGTTTTCTTAATTTGCAGAACTTTCCCTCGCTTGGATAGGCAGAGTTTTTAGAGGTTTGGGTAAAATTACATAAGTCTTCTATGGTCTTTTCCGGGGGAAGATATAAAAATCTCCCAACTCGGCTTCAAAACGAATAATATCTACTCTGGAAAACCAGAGTAGCTTTAACCTTTTCACTGTTAGGAAAGTAAGCCAGAGGTACACAGTTGAGAGGACAGAGAACGTCAAGACTGGTAACTTGTGTTCAACACAATGGCAGCAATTTGCAGGGATGGCTGTTCCAACAATATGCAACTGAGGTTGAACATACCTGATCATGCTGTCCTGGCAATTTATTTAACAGTAGGAAGCAAATCCTAAGAATCTGAATGTAGAATAAAAGAGCTGTAATTGTGGAGCCCAGAATGAGAAATCTCTGTTCAGGAATAACAATAGACAAATAGACACTATCCTGCTGAGAGTCAGTCTAAACAAAGACATCATTTGGGAGTGATTTAAGAGGGAGAGCTCAAGATTGAATAGATTTCCCTTTAAACTTGGAACAGGATCTTTTCTGGATGAGTAACATCCTGTATTATTCATGGGAAAAGTTTGGAGGAACATGGAAAAGGAAGACTCAGAACTGAGAATCTGGGCTTTCTGGCAAGAAAATAGGTAGAAGCTGGGTGCAACACCTATTACAAACATACAATTTTCATGTCTGACTCCTTATACTGACTGTAAACTAAGTCTAGGCAGAGATTTTGTCTAAGTTAACCATATTTCTCAGCAGCTTACTCAGTGCTTGCCAAATATAATTTGCTAATGAATAAATAGTTGGAGATACATGAGAAAAATACCAATATCATAATAAGACCTATGTATAAACTGCTCTGGGAGCAGATGAAGAGTGATTAATTCTATTTGTATGGAGGAGGAGTCACAGGATATCAAAAGAATAAAAGTCTATTGCAAGACTGAGTTCATGAGTTTTTCTTTCAATAAATACTTCTTTATTTAATTAGCCACCAGAGGGATATTCTGGGTTAAATTTCCTGGAAGAGGAATAATAAACAACTAAAGGAGTCAACAGAAAACTGAAGTCAGGATTATATTTGCCAGGCTCTATAACCCTAGGGTGTGTGTGAGTAATTCTTTCCTTGTAAAGAGTCAAATCATGGTGTGTTTGTTATTTTATATGTAATAAAGGGTTTCAATAACTATAAATGGATTAGTTTTTCTAGGGCTATACCAAACTACAGTTTATTACTTCCTAATGTGTGTTCCTAAGAAAACTAATTCCAGGAGATGTTCTGTAGGGGGAAAGGGATTTCAGTGTTATATCTAAGTGCCTACTAACACTCTGATAAAGCTTATTAGCAAATTGTCTAGATATTTCATCAAAACAGGTTTTTTTCATTTTACTTTGTTGCTCCTATTTTTTACAAAACTAGTTAAAACCCAATGGTAGGGCTGGATATGGCGGCTCCCACCTGTAATCTCAGCACATTGGGAGGCTGAGGCAGGCAGATCACTTAAGGTCAGGAGTTCAAGACCAGCATGGCCAACATGGTGAAACCACGTCTCTACTACAAATACAAAAATTAGCTGAGCATGGTGATTGGTGCCTGTAATACCAGCTACTTGGGAGGCTGAGGCAGCAGAATCGCTTGAGCCTGAGAGAGAGAGGAGGTGCATTGAGTCGAGATAGCACCGCTGCACTGTAGCCTGGGCAACAGAGTGAAATTCAGTCTCAAAAAAAAAAAAAAAAAGAAAAGAAACAGAAAAAAACAATGGTAGTAATTTAGGTGTCTCTGTAATAGTTAATTTTCTTTTTCTCAGAGAGGAACAGCTGACTAAATCCTTAAGTTGTAATAATATGTATCTAGTAAAAAGCTGAGTTGGTTCTAAATGTAATGGCAGTTTAAGATATCTGTAATATATTGCTAAATGACAGGAATGAATAGCAGTATAACATATAGAGAGAGATATGTGTATGTATATGTACATATACATATATAAGCATATACACACATATATCATAAATGTATGTATATGTACACATATCATCTATATCATCCATGTATATGTGTGTATACACAGATATATGTCATATATATCATGGCCAATTTTGTATAACATTTTATATATTTGTATATACATAGAAAATATATTGAGGGGCACCTAGCAAGATAAAATCAAGTCACTAACAAGACCACCAAAGGAGAGAAGGATATGATTTGAGAGAGTGTAGATAGGGACTTTGAGTTTTTATTTTGTACATATCTATACTTCTAATTTTCTACCTTAAAGTTTCTTCTTTCTGTAATGTGATTAATATGTGTTTTGTACAACCACACAAGTTATCACTAAAATAGTGAGAATATTTAAAAAAATTTTTCTCTGATACTAGGACCATGGGGGATATGTTTTTCCTTCTTTCTATTTTTTTTCATAGTGAGTTTTGATACTGTTATTGTTTAACTAGAAAAAATAAATTCTTCCAAGAACATTTTTTTTAAAACTCCCGAAAGAAAAAGATTTGGGAAGAAAATCATTTACAGTTCTAGCACTAAAAAATAGACATTAATGGTTGGCAAACTCTTCTCTTTCAAAATTTTATTTTTCTTTACAAAAGGTTTTCTATCTTATATAACTATAATCATTCCTTATTCAGTTTTTAAAATTGCAAAAATAGTCATGCCCTTTGAAAAAATTTAAATTGTACAGAATTTGTAAAGGCTAAAAAGTGAATACATATTTAATGGAGCTATGTGAATGTATTTATTTAACATTTGGTAGAAAAGAACTATGTATTTTATAAAGTCATGTGATGCATATTTTCTTTTCCAAACCGTAAGTGATGATATCTGTTCCAACACATTTTATCACATAGCTAACAATAGTAAAGCACCTACCTCCTTCTCCAACATCAAGCCTTCTGCTCTGAGGTTCTTTTCAAATGTGTTTCTTTTGTCATATTGTATATTTGTCTTTCTATAAACCAAGATGTAATCGATTCTTTTTTTGCCATCTTTGAATAGAGGTCCACTGGATGCTATGTAATTCATGTCATTCTGCAAATAAAGCAATGATTGTTAATGGTGTGGGCTAGACAAGTACATACATTTTTCATTATAGTTACTTTCATTTGAACACTGGCAATCAATATCAAAAAATTTACTTTTAATATTGCTACTACTACTACTGTGAGATATGGAAACAGAATTAAAGAAAGTTTACAATCCACTATAGGAGCCACATTAACAAATGATGTTCCAGGAAATAAAATTAGGTGATCTGATACCTGAATGTGGGTTCTGTGGTGCTGGCATAAAAATGCATATGCTTTATTCAATAAGACCCATGAAAATAATATCATACAACAACAAATAATAAAATAATTATTTACTATTTTATTTAATCATAAAATAATGCTAACATACATTGAGTATTTAGTAAAACATCATGACCAGATATAAATGCTTTCAATACTTTATCCTATATACTACTATGTGCATTTCAAAGATAAAGACACTAAGACAGAGAATATAAATACTAAGAACTGAAACCAACTTTATTTCCTGTGTTGAATAACACTCAGTCCAGGCATTATTTTCCTAAATCCATATTTAGTAATACTGAAACCAAAAAATAATCCCTAAGCTATTTGCTTTGGGAAATACTTTTTCTAAGAATATATGACTGCAAACAACTAAAACAGCTTACTTTTCAAAACAAATTGCTTGCTCAGCAAGACTGCTCTAGGGCCTTCATTCTGTTGTACCTACCAACTTAAGCTATTTTTAATGGACTTTGCCCAATTTTCAACCAAATTCTTGCCTTGTAAGACCTACCTTAAAATTACCCAGTCTAGGCTGTGAGAATCCTTTGAAAACGCTTCCCTAACTTCATTCTTCTGAAACACTACTAAGACTATCCATGTGGTATTCTTATTTGCTGTAAGTAACTTCAATAAATCAGCTTTATTGATCAACACATTTTCCTCATGGTCCTCTTAGTGGGGGTTTTCTAGTATATTGCCCAAGATCAACGAGGAACCAAGACTTGAACCTAATTTCTTCTGACTCCAAGTTCATGTTCATAACTATTATCTACCTTATCCTTCTTTCTCCACTTTCCTTCAAACTATTTGGACATCTGTATCAACTCTCTATTTAATGTTTCCCATACAAGCATTCTTCAGATTCAAAGCACTTTCCAACATCTGGGGAGATATTAGATAATGTCAGACAAAGATGTTTCACACTGCTTTGGAGGACCCTGACTGGGGCATATATGCAGCTCCAGGTGAAAGAAGTGAGGACCAGAGCAACCTGATGTTCAAGGAGATAAAGGCCAACAAATCATTCAGGTGAAGAAACAGAAATAATATCCAAGAAATACTTGCCCTACAGTGACAGGTTAGGTTATCTGAGGAGCCTCTAGTGGACTCTGGCTCTTCAGAGAGATTAAGTTCAAGTGTGTAAATTTAGTAATAGAAATTTCCAAGTTCAAGAACAAGAAAGCTTTACACAGTCTTTTCTTCAATGAATGAAAAAGTTTTGAGATTTCCAAGATTAATATGGAATCCTGGAAGATTCCACAGGATCTGGAAAGGACTATAAAGTGACAAAGTGACTAAGTAACTAATATCAGTGGAACAGGGCCTTGTAATTCCATAAAAGAGTAATAATGACAGAAGTAGCTATCACTGATCAAATACTTACTATGTGCTATGCATTGTGCCAAGTGTTTCAAAAGGTTATTTAATTCAATTGCCATAACCCATGAAGGTAGATATTGACATGAATACGTAGAAGCTAAAGAGGTTAAGAGACATACAGATATCACAGAAAAGAAAATAATAAACCCAGCATATCCACCAATTTGATACCTTACCTGGTGGTCATGACCACTGTATTTAAAAAGATAAAGGCCATATACAAATAAACATTCCTAGGACTAAGGCTTGAGTATTTTAAAAAGACTAACAAAAAAGGCCATTTCCAGCTGTTACATAAGAGAAGTACTTTTAGGTGAGGGAATTTTTTGCCACAGAAGGCACAAATTCAGATTTTAGAGGGTTTTTGCCTCCAACACTTCAGACACTTTTTTCATCAAGGTCACTAAAGACATAGTCATTGCTGTATCCAGTTATCAATTTGCTGTCTTTAAATTTATCTTCCTGCAGTGGAATCACTCTCACCTACTTTATACACCTTTTTCCTTTGACTCCCAGGATATCTAATGTATCTGGATTTACTCCTAGTTAAGTGGTCACATGTTCTCTCTTCCTTTGATTTGTTAATGAACCATTCATTGGTTCTCTTGCCTTTTTTACCCTATATACTCCCTCCTTGTGATTTCGTCCAAGCTCATGGCTTTAAATAACCATCTGTATGTTGACTACTACATAAGTATTCACCGGCTTATATATCTAACTGCCTTCTGGATGTCTAATGAATATCTCAGAGTTAACTGTCCAAGATGAAATTGCTTATCTTCTTCAGACAGGTACTTCCTGCAACCTTCTTTAATCTGGTTGGTTGCAATTCTGTCTTTTCAATTACTAACATCAAACATCTTGAGTCGTCCTTTTTTTTTTTTCTTTCTTGTCCATCTAACATTCAAATCATCAAGAAAATCTTTCAAAATATATTTAAAATCTCACCACCTTCTAACACCTTCATTACTACTACCAGTACTATTACTCTGGTGTAAACCATGATAATCTCTTTATTGGATTATTGCAATAGCCTGGCTTGTCTCTTTGCTTCTCTTTTCTCCTGTATAGTTTGTTCTCAACATGACAGTTGAGTTACCTCAGTGATTCTCGATATTATAGATGAGATCATGTAACTCCTCCAATTGCTTTCCATGTTACTCATCACTCTTGATCCCACTTCCCCTAATCTATTTTTTTCTTAGCAACTGCTAACTTCTAACTAACATATATAGTGCTAATTTATTAATTATCTTTTGTTTGCCAACAGTCTTATTCTGCAAAGATATAAATTTTATGAAGGTGGGAACTTTTTAACTTTTTGGTTTACATAGTATCTTACACATCTGGTTCACAGCCAGACACACTGTAGTCATCAGTAAATATTTATAGAAAGAAGGAAAGAAGAAAGAAGAGAAGGAAGTAAAGAAGAGAACACCCAACCCATAGTTGCATGTATTCAGTAGACAGGGTTAACATCAAGAATACAGGCCTAAAAAATCATGTGGTCATTTGTCATCCTCTCCTTTCCGACATTTATAATAGAAAAAATTATAATAGGCTAAAATGAAGAATCTCAAAATCATAGTAGCACTGAAATTAGTTACAATTTGGCTTGCCTTTTAACTTTATATCTGTGATCCACTGTTTACAGGCATCTCCATGCTGATCTAAGAAAGGATTAGGTGAAAATAAAATGATACACACATTTTTCTCCATTTTTCTTAAAGTATACTACCCTCCCAGTGTAGTAAACAAAATCAACTGAATCTCATAGCACTGGAAACATATTTAATCCCAGGTGAAGGCAAATGTCCTTCAATGAGAAGACCTAGAAATCGAGACTGGTTGGTAGAAAAAAAAAAAAAAACATTAGAAAGACAAAAAAGGTTTTTAAAATATTTTATATGCTTTTCATTTTAAAAGCAGTATGGACTGAAAATGGAAACATGATAGTTATTTTCTATTACTCTAATTCTAAACTACGTAAATGCTAAACTTTCCCAGAAAGACAGCTATCTGTTTTAAAAATCGACATCGTTATAAAAAGAAGTAACCTCTGATACCCAAATTTTGTCTCTCAGCGAGTAAATAACTTCACAAACTTATTAGCTGGAATTTTAATTTAAATATTATATAAATTCCAAATGTTGAATGGTGAGTTTTTACCAGTTTTAACAGACAATAATAAAAAGTAGATCTCAAAATGACAATACAGAAGCATAGTAAAATTTGGAAAACTCTTCTGAATTATGTAGAAAGAACTCAGTAGAGGTTCTATATCATTTTAAGGTTAATAGTGGTATACTTTATTTTAATATATATGATAGCCATTAACAAATATGTTATTTAACCCATGTTCAAACCTGTTGTTTAAAAACAGAATTCACTGAAAACTGATTACATATGTCATTACATCTAGAGAAAAGGAATACAGCTTCTTCAATTGTTTGGTACAATAACAACAGAACAAATATAAAATCACCATTAATTTCATGAGTTATTGGAAATAGTGAAATACTTTCCAATTACAGTAGGAATGCATTCAATTTAGAGTTGTTTCATGTTTATTGTCTCTAGGGGACAGAATAAAATTTGCTTTTCTCAGAGAAGCCGGAATGCAGAACATTCATCAAGTACCTACCTAATATTTAAACAGTTTTAAAAATAACTCAATCATGAATGTGTTTGCAAACTATGAAGCTCAGATACTTTCAGGAAAGCTGATCTTCTTAAGAAATATTCCAAGAACATGCAAGTTATGGCTCATGTTGAGTAGGAATCCTTTGCAAATATTTTAGCCCATTTGCAAAACAGTAGCAGAGATTGGTGCATTCGCATAAGAACCTGTTTTACGGTATTCTTTGAATAAAATTATGGCACTAACTGCTTGTCTTGGTGAGGGTGAGGGGCTTTTCATTTTCTGAATGTTTCTTCTCAATCTATAGGTATCAGTTAACACCTATGCGCTAACCTGTAGGGTTAAGGAAAATAAGACATTAAACATTTAAAGGAATTTTATCATATACTTGCAATTATAGGCATGTAAACATTTCATTACAATGCTCTATCTATTATGCACCCTAATAGCTGTAAACACATGAAGAATGTCAGAGTGTATCCAGAAGAAGCCTGATAGATACCAACAGACACTGAAGGTTATGTATCTTTGTGAATTTACCACAGCCAGTCTTTATCAAGCACATACAAAATTAGATCATATCATTAATCAGTAGGTGATTGCTGGTTATCTGTACTTCACACTTGTGAGTTAGTAAAATGTAGTATGACACATTGGTTAAGGTGTCAAGAACTGCGTTTAGACGTACTTGGAATCTAATTTATTGTCTT